CCGGAGAACTGCTCGCGCTTCGTCCTCTAATTATGATTGCGAGGAGGCTCCGGAAACTGAGCCTTCTGCTGCTGCTGCTGCTGCTTCTGCTGCTGCTGGTGTTCCTGCTGCTGCTGCCGCAGCTCCCGAGGCTGAAACCACTGCTGCTGCTGCTCCCGAGGCAGGAGCGGAGCCGTGCCCGGAGACGTTAGCGGAGGCATTAGCGGAGGCATGCGCGGAGCCGTGCGTGGAAACATGAGCGGAGACGTTAGCGGAGGCATGAGCGGAGACGTTAGCGGAGGCATGAGCGGAGACGTTAGCAGAGGCAGCAGTAGAGGCGTTGGCGGTGGTTGGAGTCGTGTGCTGCGACCTCGCGTCGCGTACTGCTATCAGCTGAAGCACCTTATCGAGCGTGCGAGACGTCAGGTGGAGCAGAGCGGAGCACAGTCGGGGAGTGGTGCTTCTATTGAAGCCTGATACCACGTGGCTTAAGTTCAACGAATCCTGCTTCGACACGTGGCGAAGCGTCAACTCGAGGAAGGCGGTCGGGCTGGGGTCTTCTAAAGCCCGAAGCAGCTGCTCTTTACTGCATTCCTTGGTCATTGCTACGCTTTTTAAGGAGCTGGGTGTATGAGAGGAATAACAACTCGAAATACAGTTCTAGAACTCGTGTTAAACTTCCAAGCTTCGGCGATCCTGAGGTGCTCCGCATATAAAGTCAACTAGGAAGGAAACACGGTAAAGCATTTCAGTCACGCGGCAATTCTCTGTGTACGGACCTCCTAATCGCTTCTGATGCTGACTCCGGTCTCAAGATAGTCTTAGGGCAACCTCTCCAAGCGCTGCAGTTGGTTTGGAATTCCTGATGTAAGGGCGTGTCCAGCGCGTAGACTTTGGAGTTTTTACAAAAACAAATTACGTATATGGTTTCATGTATCGAAATGGTACTGCCAGGTGTACCCTCAGATTTTTGTGTACAGAAATGAGCAGGTGGACACAACCCGCCACTCAGCATAACCCTAACAGCAGATGTACGACAGTGACGACAGCACAATTCTGTAACCAGATTCTCGTCAGCTCGATTCGCGTAAACGACAGCGTCGCGTGACGCGGAAATCGAAAGTGCACATTAAATTTTAGGCGAAAATTCTCTTGCTTAATACAAGTTAAACTTCGCTAAGTCCGGAAATGTAGCATTTCAGATGCGTACACGCTGGAATGAGGCAGTTGTTACGTGCGCTGTGCGTCATTTTCACGATTCGGCAGACGTGTGGGCTGTGTCCGTATTTTACATCTTGGGGTGTGCGAGTCCAGAAAATATGTAAATGGCGATTACATTCGAGAAATGTGGTACCTGTAGCGGCAGGTGGGCTGTAAATGTACGCGCTGGACACGCCCTAAACTGACAATATCTGAGAAATCCCGCTGACAGGAGGACCTGCCTAGAGAACTGAATGAACTGACACTCTGGGCGGGAAATGCTGGGATGTTCTCGAGGCGTGCGGGTATGGCCGAGGCTGATTGGCTGACGGAGAATTCAAAGCGTGAGATATCGAAACGGGGTTCTGACATCGTTAGAGTTGCAGCTACACGGTACATATTTTGCATTTTCTGTAGGAAACAAATATGTTATAAACAAGCATCACACACATATGGGTGGTATGAAGATACTTCTGGGACTTCCGATAAGGTAGCTATCATATGCAGCTACCACGGCTCAGGGAAACTTAAATTGGGTGTATTTACAGTCAGCTTCGAGCAAGCCTGATACCCTATAACTATCCTCCTTACCATCAAAATGTACGTGCTCCTTGTTGTCACCCTCCTTTTCTATTGATCCTTTCGTCCTTGCAAGCCATGAGGAGTTGGTCTGTTCGGTCTTCCCAAGAAGCCCATGCACTGAGTTCGACTCCTTGAAACTCCCAAACCTCACATTCAGCTGCAATAAAATAAATGTTTTGTGACAGTGAAGGTAGTGACAAACCGTTGAATTGATGAACAGCACCAACCAGCATACACACTTACATGGTTTTGGTGCACCCATTTATCAGTATTGTGATTGAACGTTGCTCTTCTGATGTCAATAGTCATATCGAATGTACTTGTGACGCAAATCCGCACAGATCTGCTAGTGCGGTCAACTCTGAGCATTGTATTGCTCATGGAGACTGTTGAATCAACATTAGACAACTCAGCTCCATTAATGAAGAGCCCTCCTTGAAAACCCGAAACCCTTGCACCGGGATGTGACAGTGCAACCACAACAATCTCCACCAAATCATCTTCACTGCTGCGTGCCCCCTTATACAGTATGCCGACTTCATCCATATACTGCAAGAGAAACGAGCTTAGACAAAGAGGGGAAACCATTGTGTCAGCGCAAAATATATGTTTCATTGATTTCTTACCTTGGTGCTGTTATGTGCCCAAGCAACGAGTCGCATGTTAACGTGGATGTCTGAATCCGAGAGCAAGCAGTAGCTCTCCCCAGGCTTGCTGTGGAAGTTAAATCTCTCCCCGTGCAGCCCCACCAAGTGCGGGTCTCCTGTCACATTACCTTTTGATGTCCCATTAAACCTGTGTACACTAGGGAAACATACGAGAAAGATAATCAGAGTCAAGTATCCGAGAGCAAGCAGTAGCTCTCCCCAGGCTTGCCGTGGAAGTTGAATCTCTCCCTGTGCCGCCCCACAAAGTGGGGTTTCCCTTTCACATTTCCTTGCGTTGTCCCATTATGGCTGTAGGTCAGGGAACCAGGTAATAGGCTCAGAACACATCCGAATAGAACATATTTACCTCCTCCAGCATGTGTGGGAAACTGGCATGTGCAACATAGGAAATTAAAAAGCTTTCGTCTGCTTAGAAAGATTGGGCTTACCTTGGTGGTTGTGGCTCCTTAGGAAGCTTCTCCCGCAGGTGACGAGCGCAAGGAGGAGGTAAGGCGGTTGGAGGGGGTGGAGGAGAGGTGGGAGGGGTGGAGAGCGGTGGCAGTTCTGGCTGGGGGCAGGAACAGTCAGAGACTGTAGAGGTGGGCGTGGGAGTGGGGGAAGTCGTAGCGGCAGTGGCAATACCAGAAGAGGCAGGTGTAGCAGCAGGGGCAGTGGCAGTGGCAGGTGTAGCAGGAGAGGTAGGGAGGGAGGAGATAGTGGAGAGGGGACGAGGTGTGGTAGGAGGTGCTGCATTTACCGCTGCTGCTGGTGCTACTGCTGATGCAGGTGCTACTGCTGATGCTGGTGGTAGTGCAGATCGGGGAGGGGTTGCTTTGAGGTAGGCGGGAAGAAAGGGGCAGGTGAAGGGTGGAGGGGCGCGGAAGCAACCAGCTGGTGGAGAGGGCGGGAGGGGAAAGGGGAAGGTAGAAGGGTAGGGTGACGTATATGAGAGGAGGATGGATGGTGCCCTTATCCATGTGAAAAGGATGGTAATGAGTGATGGGAGACAAGCCCATGGGTGCATGAGAAGGTGAATGAGAGATGGGCAATGGAGAAGGATCGCAACCAACCACGCATGTGCTGTCAGTAACGGACAGGTGGGCTGCGGAGGCCTTACTACCATCAACTCGTATGGTTCTCAGGACAACGAGACAAACCCCATGGGTGAATATGAGAGACGGGCAATGGAAAAGGATCGCACCCACGCATGTGAAGTGAGGCTATTTCTTAGGCGCCTCGAAAACCATGCCCAGGCATTTCTGGGTGCACGACGGAAGAGGAATGGGGGTGCGAGAGGAGGAAAGAAGGGAATCGAATGCTGCTGAAAGGTAGTGTTGCACTTACATTCAGTTACAGTCACGTTGCCTCTTGCACGAAGAGCTGCAGTGGTGATGTTTCGGCAGATGATGCACGAACCCACACAGAGAAGGGGGACGGTGAGGGTGGTGGAAGGGGGGAGATGATGGGGGAGGGAGGAGGAAGAAGTGGTGGTGGAGGGGTGAGAGGAGGGAGGGGAGGAGGGACGGGGGGAGGCTGATTGGGTGACTGGTGGGGAAGCTTCCTGGAATCTGCTGTGGTGGATGTGGGCAAAAGCCCACCGCCTCACTGCCACGTCAGCACCGCCCTGCAGGTTTCCCCCTCTCCTAGGAGCCCGAGACTCTCTGGAAAAATGCCTTGTAACAGGGTTACCAGCAGCGTTTCTAGCAGGGTTTCCTGTGTCATTATCGATCTGGTTACCAGCAGTGTTACTGGCAGTGTTACCGGCAGAGCCACCAGCAGTGTTACTGGCAGAGCCACCAGCAGTGTTACCGGCAGAGCCACCTGCAGTGTTACCAGCAGAGCGAAGGAAGGGGGGACCACACAGCCGCTGCCCCTCCCTCCACAGCAGCCCTGTTGGCCAGTAACTTCTGGCATGCTGTTGCATTGTGGCACGTTGGGTCGACCCCATCCACAAACACGGCTCCCCCGACAGCAGCCGAGTTGATGGTTGTTGGCACGGCAGGGTAAGTGTACCTGGTGGTTTGATGACGTGTTGTGACACGTTGGGTCGACCCCATCCACAAACACGGCTCCCCCGACAGCAGCCGAGTTGGCGAGGGAAGAGGGAATCGAACACCGTGGCACAGGGAGAGGGAGGGGAGAGTCACAGCAAGGAGGGATTGTTGGCACAGCAGGGTTAGTGTACCTGCTGGCATGCTGTTGCGTTGTGACACGTTGGGTCGACCCCATCCACAAACACAGCACCGCCGACAGCAGCCGAGTTGGCGAGAACGATGAGAGTGCAAGAGTCACAAGTCATCCAACCATCTGAAAGCTCCAGTACCTGCTGGGATGCTGTTGCGTTGTGACACGACAAACAGCGAAGCAAGCACCGCGACACACGGCGAGGGAAGGGGAGACGAAGAGGGAGAGATGTAGAAAAGGCAAGTACCTGTTTGGTTGACGACGTGTTGTGGCAGGCAGGGTCATCCCATCCACGAACGCAGCACCGCCGACAGCAGCCGAGTTGGCGACAAACAGCGAAGCAAGCACCGTGACACACGGCGAGGGAAACGAAGACGAAGAGGGGTTTCCCATCACTCCCAGACAATACTATGCCCTGCTCGCAGCACCAGCACCATCAGCCGACGTGTGAGAGGTAGGGGTGGTCCCAGCGTGCTTCCCATGCGCAGTCACACATGGTGAGGGGAACGGAGACGAAGGGGGTTTTCCCATCGCTCCCAGACAATACTCTGCCCTGCTCGCAGCACCAGCACCGGCAGCAGACGTGTGAGAGGTAGGGGTGGTCCCAGCGTGCTTCCAGCTGAGCGAGATGCGCCTGTCGGCCTGCTGCCCCAGGTACATGGCGCCTCCCCTGCTCTGGTGATTGCCAGTGCCGTTCTATGGAGGGTGGAGGGTGGAAGGATAGGGGGGCGTGGCTGGTAGGTGGGGTCTGAACGTGCTTCCAGCGGCGAGAGATGCTCCTGTCAGCCTGCTGCCCCAGGTACATGGCGCTTGAAGGAATATATTAGAGAGCGTAGTGATAACGAGAGAGTTTCTGCTATGAGAATGATGTTGCGCCAGCAACTTGGTAGAGTTTCGGTACAGTTTGCCTCTAAGGACTTAGTGAGGATTGAAGTAGCATTCGGGCCAAGTAGAATTGCAATATCAAATATGAATACAAAAGCAAACACACAACTAGATATAGGCTACGGGAAGGTTTCACAAAGCTGGCGAGGCACTACGCAGTAACCCAACCCCACGAAAGTGGTGTGTGGGTGAGCGAACGCGCCTCGTCAACTTCCCAACCCAACTCAGCAGGGAAGTCAATGCCGAGCTCGCCAATTCTCCCAGCACAACTAGAAATGGCGAGACTCACAGAGAATCACCCACAACCACCAAGACCACCCAAGAAGCATGCCCACGATTTCCCTAGACTAACACCACCCCAGCAATGACTGTTTAGTGCTGCCGTTGTTACATCGCGTCACTACGCAACCATCGCCAAATCATAGGGTCGGTGCTGGACTGCTCGTCTTGGTCTTTCATAGTCGACCTGCCAAGTCAAACGGTCGTCGAGGGCCCTTGCTGTCGTAGGGCCCTCTAACACTCCCCTGCCATACTACAGCAAGGCCCTTTATAATCACAGGGCATGCATACACGCATACACGCCAAAACAAAGGGAAACACACACAAACGAAGCACTCTCAAAGTGCAAACACGCACCGCACCAGCCATGGATAGGCCATGGCACCATCCACATCATGGAGTGTCTAGGTCTCACTCCCCTCGCTCGAGAGCCTCACCTGCCCCACAGCCTCGAAGCAACGACTGAAGGCGGGGAAATGCAATGCCTTCGTGAGGTAGTCAGCAGGCTGCTCGCTCGTAGGGATGTACTGCAGCTGCAGCTTCCTGCGCTTGACCATGTGCTGCAGCCATATGTGACGACGCTCCATGTGCTTGAGGCTCCCCTTGAGCCCCATGCCACCTGCCACTGAAATGGTAGAGGAGTTGTCCACAAAGAGAGTAGTGGGCTCCTCACTCCTCAGCAGTTGAAACTCTGCCAGCAGGAAGCGCAGCCTGCGCGTCTCCTTCCCAGCCTCCACAGCAGCAACATACTCAGACTCAGTGGAGGAGAGGGTGGCGCAACGAATCCTCTGGCTCGCCCAAGAGACAGCAGCACCCCCGAGCACGAAGATGTAGCCACCAGTGCTGGTCCTGTTCTGCTTGTCTCCCGCATCATCAGCATCGGCGTAGCCCACCAGCTCCAAGGACTTCGGCCCCCCACCAAACTCCAGCGCCACATCCCTGCTCCCCACCAAGTACGCCAAGCACCGGTCCAACTCCTTCCAGTGCTGATCACTCCGCACAGTCTGGCCCGACCCCAGCTTGCTGCAGGCAAACGAGATGTCGGGACGGGTGGTACAGGCCGCGAACTGCAAGGATCCCACCTTCTGCCTGTACTCCTCCTCCTGGCGAGACTGCCATCCCACATCCTCGAAGGTCTGCACACTGAAAGGGTCAGAGGAAAGAGGGGTGCGAGGCACTCGCAGCGGCTGCTCCCCGTCAAAGAAGCGCTTATGGACCTTGTCCACATAGGCCCCCTGGTGCAGCCACAGCCTCCTCATAGGCCTGTCCCGAATCAACTGCAACCCCAGATATTTCTCCACGGGGCTAATCTCCCGCAGCTGAAAGGCACTCTGCAGCAGGTCACGCAGCTCCCCTAGCATGCTCTGACTGCGGCTGGCAGCAAGCAGCTCCCCTAGCATGCTCTGACTGCGGCTGGCAGCAAGCTGTGGCGGCTAGCATCCACATACACCAGCAGCCAGCACATCTCCCCCTCAGCATCACTCTTGAAATACAGAGCCTCATCCACCTTGCTCTTCTTCCATCCAGCCCCAAGCAGCACCCCATCCAAGGCCTCATACCATAGCATCGGGCTCTGCTTGAGCCCATACAGGCTCTTCACCAACTTACAGACACGAGGAGTCCCATCCTCGCAGTAGCTCGGCTGCTCCATGTAAAGGTCTCGGTCCAGCATGCCATGGAGGAACGCGTTCTTCACATCCAGCTGCATCAGGTCCAAATCAAGTGCAGCTGCAATTGCCAGAAGCACACGTGCCGTCACATAGATTCCCACAGGGGCGTACGTCTCCTCATAGTCCACCCCTGCCACCTGCGTGAACCCCTTCACCACCAGCCTCGCCTTCTCACGCTCCACTATCCCATCCAGTCGGAACTTGGTGTTCAAAATCCAGCGGTTCTTCATCACATTCACCCCTGGCGGACGCGGAACCAACTTCCACGTCCCCTGCTCAATCAAGCTCCGCATCTCCTCATCCATCGCCTCCTTCACCTTGTCGCCCTTCCAGCAGCCTAAGGCCTCCTTCACTGTCATCTTCGCTATATCCCACTGCCTCTCAGGGTCAGCCACCACGTCAGGGTCCAGGTCTGTCCACTCCTCGTCCTCCTCCTCGTCATCCAATCCCGCTGGCTCAACCACTAAAGCCCAAGCATACTTAAGAGGCGGGATACCACGAGTGATGCGAGTGGAGCGACGCAGTGGCGCAGTGATCATCTCAGAGGCCAACACACGACCACCATCTCTAATTCCCCACATCTCCTGCTCCCCTGTCTGCGGCTCCCCTATCTGCTGCTCCCCTAGCTGCTGGTCCACCATCTGCTGCTCCTCAATCCGCTCCTCCCCTATCTGCTGCTCCCCTGACTGCTGCTCCCCTATCTCCTGCCCCCCACTCTGCTGTACTCCATCCATACTGCTTTCGTCCTGCAGCTGCTCAGTCTCAAGGCGCTGCCCGTCGGTGATCTCCACAGACGGTGGCACCTCTATCCCCCCCTCACCAACGGGCGGCGCCGTGGAAGACGAAGAGGAGGGCGGAACAGGTGCAGGAGGGATGGAGGGTGGAAGGGGAGATGGAATAACAAGAGAAGGAGGGGAAGCCAAGGGGGGTGAGGAGGAAAAAGGGGGGGCAGGGGGAATCACACGAGGGTAGGCTGAAGGCGGAGGTGGGGTGGGGACTGAGGTAGGGACATAGGGCATAGAAGGAGGTGCGACCACCTCCTCCTCCTCCTCCGCCTCCTCAAGAGTGATCGGGAAGAGTGAGGGGCGCATAGGGCATCGAACGCCCCCCATGCTCCTGCTGATGCCAAGCCTTCCATCCTGCCAGGGACATGGTCTCATAAAACACAGCTTCCACAATGGTGATGAGGCGGTTGGACTCCAAGTCCAGCACGGTCCAGCCCTTGCTCGCAGCTGACACACCCAAGTGCAACCCCCAGCGAGCCTTAGGCGCCAGCTTCCCCCCACGCTGCGACAGTGGTACCATGTACTGCAGCATGCACCCCCAAACACGCACCATACTGACATCAGGTTTGCGTCGGAAGGCGAGCTCGTACGGCGTCACACCAGAGGGTAGTGAGGCGTGCTCCACGCGGTTGCGCACCCAGACGGCCTGCGCCAACGCCAGGTGCCACCAGTGATGCTGCACACCCATGTGCAGCAACATCGTCCGCACCGCCTCCACAATGCTGCGCATCTCCCTCTCGGCCATCCCGTTCTGCTCCGGCGTGTACGGGCATGTGAGGTCATGGATGATGCCTTTGCCGTCGAGGAAGAGCGTGAAGTCGTGCCCCAGGAACTCGCCACCCCGATCAGTGCGCAGCGCCTGCACCGTGGTCTTGCACTGTCGCTCTGCCATTGGGAGCCACTTCTGGAACGCCGCCAGCGCATCACTCTTCTGGGCCAAAGGGTAGGCCCAGACATATCGCGTCTTGCGATCCTTCAGCACCAAGAAGTAGCGGCTGCCGTCCTTAGCTGCTTCACGGAAAGGGCCACACAGGTCAGCATGCACCACCCCGAGCAACTCATCCTCCTCCTCTCCCACAGAAGGAAAGGTATGACGAGTGATCTTTCCCCCAACACAGGAGACACAAGGTATGCCTGACTTGCCCCCCTTCTCCAAATCCAAGCCCTTCACTGACCCGTGAGCCGCTGTGCGCTCGATGTCATCAATACCAACGTGTGCCATACGCGCATGCCACAGGTCCCCCTTAGACCGCACGCCCGTCGCCAAGGTACGAAGTGCCACCGTTTCGCCTTCCTGCTGCTGCGTCGAACACGGCCGGAAGTTCGTGCAGGGAACACGCCCCTTGAACTCCGCACGACCAAGGAGCGATCCATCTGGTGCCCGCAGCAAAGTCACATCCCCGGTATCCAGCAGCTGCACACCACTATCACGCAGCTGCCCAGCACAGAGAAGACTCGCCTGCACTCCTGGTACGTACAGCACGTCCGGCACCAAGACACGCCTGCCCCCCTCTCCAAGAAGAGCGACTGTGCCTCGCCCCTGGACCTCCTAAAGGGCGCCGTTGAAGCCGGCAACCTGTTTAATACTGCCGCCGCTGCTCATCTCCACAAAGGCAGAACGATCTCCCATGAGATGGTGGGAGCATCCGCTATCAAGTAGCACGACACTCGGGTTCGCCTTTACAGCAGCTGCAACAGCCTGTAAGCCTTCTCCGGCCTCAGGCTCCAGCACAACGAGAGGATTCTGCTCCACAACGGGCTTCACCATCGCACATGATGACTGCCCGCTCCCCTTAGAGCCATCACCCCCCTTTCCGCTGCTACCTCCAGAACCCTCTCCACCAGCGTCTTCCTCCTTATCCGCCCGCTGCTGACAGTACTTAGCAACATGCCCTGTCTCTCCACACACATAGCACTTTCCCTTGAAGCCCCCTTTCCCCCCCTTCGGTTGGCCATCCTTACCCCCTTTCCACTTCTCCCCTCCCCCACCAGCCCCACCCCCATTCTTAGGCTGCTGCTGCTGTGCCGTAGTGGGAGGGGAAGTGAATGAAGTCTGCTGGAATTGGGGCTTACCCTTCTTGGTAAAGACCTGGTTAGCCTGGGGAAGGAATTGGTCCTTTCGTCCCTCTGCCGCCAGCGTACACTCCTCCTCGATGATGTAGCTAGCGAGGGTGTCTTCGTCCAACTCCTTGCGCACCTGCGGCAACTTCAGCATCCTGCGTAAGAGGTTGTACTGCTGCGGCAACCCCTTCACAACGTGAGTGATGTACGACGCCTGCGAGTAATCTACGCCGGCCATCCTCATGTTCACTAGGATCTGCTGCGCACGGTTGCAATATGACGTAGCGGACTCGTGCTCTCCCATCTCGAGGTTAGTGAGCGCCTGCTCTAACTGACCGATGTACAGATCGTCCTTCGCCATGTACGTGCGCATAATAAACTGCCATGCCTGATAGCCGGCATCTACCTTCATGCGACACGCCTTAAGGGCGATCTGTACGGTTGGGGAGCAGCATCGAGAAATGGTGGTGAACGTCAGCAACTGCATCGCGCGGAACTGGGAGAGATGCGCAAGTGCACGCGCAGGTGGAATGGGGGTGGTGCCATCTATGAATCGTTTTAGCTGAGCGATCTCAAGCTGCGGCTCGATTGATTCTGTCCACGTCGACAGGTCGTGACGTCCTTCTAACGGCCTAGGGACAACGATTTTGTCTGGAGTGAATCTGAAGTAGCCATAGTTGGGGGCTATTCCCTCGTCCCTCGACATCGATCCAATCGGGGTAACGCCAGGCATAGCCTCACTATCGTACTCTTCCGCATTTCCTCCTCCAGCAACGCTCCGCCGTCCTACATTCGCATGCTCTCGTGACGCTGCTGCACGATGAACACGCTCCTGTACACCGCCGACGCTAGCCGTACTAAACCGAGTTGGTCCTCGCAGGACCCCACGCGACATCAACCCATCAAGCTCCTCGTCATCGCTATTTCCGCCATCGACAGCCATATCCCACGCACTAGTACCTCCCGCAGCTTGCTCAACATTCTCTACATGTGGCGAAGGGTGCTCACGACGCCGACGCGAGCGCAATCCCTCCAACATTAACTCGTATTCGATATCACTAATCTCACCACGAGAATGTCGAGCCACGAGATCCTCCTCTAGGGCGCGCAAATTACCGGCCTCCACGTTCGCCTCCTCCGTACTCATCCTCTACGACGTCTCTATAAGGTACCACAAATTAAAATAAATTGTCCCTTCCTTGAATCCCTCGTCTCGGGGTCACCTCACAAGGGTCCTCAGACGAATGGTAATAAATTACCAAGCGCCCTATCCTTGGGTCCGAGAACGTAACTGGAGGGAAATCAAGAGAGGTTCAACTTAAATTAATAAGCGCCCTTCACTAACGCCGCACGCCAAGGCGAGTACACGAACGCGGATATCAACGACAACGAAAATCCATGCGTGTTCGTTCCACGCTCACCGCACCATGAAGGAATATATTAGAGAGCGTAGCGATAACGAGAGAGTTTCTGCTATTAGAATGATGTTGCGCCAGCAACTTGGTAGAGTTTCGGTACAGTTTGCCTCTAAGGACTTAGTGAGGATTGAAGTAGCATTCGGGCCAAGTAGAATTGCAATATCAAATATGAATACAAAAGCAAACACACAACTAGATATAGGCTACGGGAAGGTTTCACAAAGTTGGCGAGGCACTACGCAGTAACCCAACCCCACGAAAGTGGTGTGTGGGTGAGCGAACGCGCCTCGTCAACTTCCCAACCCAACTCAGCAGGGAAGTCAATGCCGAGCTCGCCAATTCTCCCAGCACAACTAGAAATGGCGAGACTCACAGAGAATCACCCACAACCACCAAGACCACCCAAGAAGCATGCCCACGATTTCCCTAGACTAACACCACCCCAGCAATGACTGTTTAGTGCTGCCGTTGTCACATCGCGTTACTACGCAACCATCGCCAAATCATAGGGTCGGTGCTGGACTGCTCGTCTTGGTCTTTCATAGTCGACCTGCCAAGTCAAACGGTCGTCGAGGGCCCTTGCTGTCGTAGGGCCCTCTAACAGCGCCTCCCCTGCTCCGGTGCTTCCCTGTTGCGCCCTCCATTAAGGGAGAACGAAGGGGAGAGATCAGAGAAGGATAGGGGAGTGTAGAGTGTTCAGGGTTGCGGTGGGACAGGGAGAGTGAAGTGTGACAGGGGGGTCAAGTTCTAGAGATGCTTCTTCTCCTGTCGGCCTGGCCTGCTGCCCCAGGTACATGGAGCCTCCGCCGCTCCGGTGCGTCCCTGTGCCGCCCAGGTGGAAGGGAGAGTGGGAGGATTCGGGAGTGTGCCTCAGTGAGACGTCTCAAAATTCGGGATCGTGCCTCAGTGACTGGCGTGCCTCAGTGACTGGCGTGCCTCAGTGACTGGCGTGCCTCAGTGACTGTCGTGGGGGTTGCTCTGCTTCTGATGCTCCTGTTGGTCTGCGGCTCCCATGCACATGGCCCCTCCCCTACTCCCGTGCTTTTCTGTTCCATCCTGTGGAAATTGGAGAGTGGAGAGTGAGTGGAAAGTGGAAAGTAGGGGTGGAGGGTGGAAGGTGGAGAGTGGAGGCTAGAGAGTGAGGAATGGGGAGTGGAAGATGGAGGTTGAAATGCGAAGCGAATGATGTCATGTTTGAGCAATGCAGCAATGACACACATGACATCATTCGCACAATGATGCACTGTACCCCGAAAAACACTGAAAAAACAATGTGCAATGCAATCAAAACGCATGTACCACGTGTTTGAAGAAGTGTTTTGAGACGTCTCAAAACACTTCTTCAAGCATGTACCCGCCATGCATACCACGAAAACTGAGTTGAAAGCGAAATAGACGCCATGGAAAAACCGTGCTGCATTGCTCCCTATAGCAACCACCCTCCTTCCCCCCCCCCCCCCCGCTGACTTTGACTGGACTCAAACGCCATACATACCATGAAAACGGAGTTAAAAGCAAAATTGGCACCATGGAAGAACGCAGCTGCATTGCTCCCGATAGCCACCGCCCCCCCTCCGCTCCCCCCGCTGTTATTAAAAAAGCTCGTGCCTATAGCGGACAGGTAGGCCCCGGGCAGGGCCTCCCCTGGTGAAGGCGGTGAGTCGGGCAGCCCGGAAACGAAAATTGCACCGCCGAACTTTCCCCGCGGGACGAATCCGTGCACGAGAGCGATGTTTTGGAGTGTGAGGTAATTGCGTGCACGAACAGTGAAGATCTGAAGGCCAGTGGCACATATGGGAGGGCTTTTGAGACGTCTCAAAAGATCTGAAGGCCAGTGGCACATATGGGAGGGCTTTTTGTGAGAATCGAGAAGGAATGAGTGAGGATGATTGCACTAGCAAGCAGTTGGATACATATAACAAACCCTAACAGGGTTGTACTCACTACAGAGTACCCCACTGCAGACTAGAGAAACATAATGTTCTGACACACCCCCATAGTCAAAGTGGGGTATGATCAGCACAACAAGCAAAGCAAAGCAAGCTCAGGGTGGATCACAATGTCACCACACATTCTGAGCACAAGTACAGGAAGTAACAGTTTAAAGTTCACAATAAATAAGCAAAGCTAGAGGCTATCACAGAGGGCAAGTGAGGAGGAGGAGGCTGGACTAATAGGAGAGGAGAGAGGAGGCAACGGCGGAAGCTGCAGACACACGGGCAACAGGAGCGGCGCGCACTGTGGCTACCGGAGGCGCACCTCCGGACTACAGGAGTAACTGGCTCCGCGGCTAAGACGAGCGGCAGGAGCAACGGACCCACGGGCGACTGGCGCAACGGCATCACTGGGCTACCGGAAGCGCACCTCCGGACTACTGGCACTGCGAGCAACACGACGGCTACCTCCACCCAACCTCCCTCTACTGCCACACCCCCCATTCACACACCCCCTGCTGCACCCCTAGGTTCACTCACACTCCACCCCCTAGCACCACTCCGTCGACTCACACACAACCACCCCCCTCAGCAGCAGCTGCAGCAGTGGGAGACGGAGTAGGAGGAGGAGCAGGGGATGCCACACACCCGCCACCCCCATACCCTCCCCCACTGCTGCACCTGCAGCAGGGGATGGAGGAGAAGGGGCGGGGGGGGGGGGGGGGGGGGGGGGGGGGGGTGCTGTGCATGGCGCGTGCAGAGGGCAGCAGGGCGCACGGGGCGCACAGGGCAGCAGGGCAGCAGGGCGCGCGGGGCGCACAGGGCTGCAGGGCGCGCGGGGCGCACAGGGCAGCAGGGCAGCAGGGCGCACGGGGCGCACAGGGCAGCAGGGCGCGCGGGGCGCAGCAGGGCTGGCGGGTTGGCCACACCCGCCACCCTCATACCCTCCCCCACTGCTGCACCCGCAGCAGAGAGATGGGAGGGGGGGGGGCAGGCAGGTGCTGCAGGTCCCCTCCCCCCACTGCCGCATCCGCACCAGGGGGATGGCAGATCCCCTCCCCCCCACTGCTGCACCCGCAGCAGGGGGAGGGAGAGGAGAAAAGGGCGGAGAGGAGGGGGGGGGGCTGGTGCTGCAGGTCCCCTCCCCCCACTGCCGCAACCGCAGCAGGGGGATGGCAAATCCCCTCCCCCCACTGCTGTACCCGCAGCAGGGGGGGGGGGGGGGTGCTGTGCATGGCGCGTGCAGAGGGCAGCAGGGCGCACGGGGCGCACAGGGCAGCAGGGGCGGCTGCTCCAGGGGCGGCTGCACCAGGGGCGGCTGCACCAGGGGCGGCTGCTCCAGGGGCTGCTGCACCAGGGGCGGCTGCTCCAGGGGCGGCTGCACCAGGGGCGGCTGCACCAGGGGCGGCTGCTCCAGGGGCGGCTGCACCAGGGGCGGCTGCTCCGATGCGTGCCCCCCCCCCCAGGTCGCCCCTCCCGTCGCCTGTTGAGGCGACCTGAGGGGGGGGGGGGGGGGGAGGAGTACGGGGGCCGACGCGCGGCCTCCCAGGGCGCCAGAGCAGGCAGAAGAAGGGGCGACGCGCGCCCCCCCAGGTCGCCCCTCCCGTCGCCTTGCGTGGCGAGCGGGGGGGGGGGGGGGCGCGCGCGCCCCCCCCCCCCCCCCCCCCGGGTCGCCACGTAAGGCGACGGGAAAAGGGGGGGGGGCGGTGCACGGGCCCTGGTGCGCCACGACCGGCATGAGGGCGGGGCCTGGGTCGGGGCAGGTCCGGGACAGGGCCGGGACGGGGCCGAGGAAGGGCCGGGGCGGGCCGCGAAGGGGCCTAACGGGCCGCGAACGGGGCCTGACGGGGCCTTACGGGGCCTGACGGGGCCGAACGGGGCCGCAAACAGGGCCTGACGGGGCCGCAAACGGGGCCTGACGGGGCCGTACGGGGCCTGACGGGGCCGCAAACGGGGCCTGACGGGGCCGCGAAGGGCCTCACTAGGGGCCGCGAAGGGGCCTTACGAGGGGGCCGCGAAAGGGGCCTTACGAGGGGGCCGCGAAGGGGCCTAACGAGGGGCCGCGAAGGGGGGCCGTACGAGGGGCCGCGAAGGGGCCTTACGAGGGGCCTTACGAGGGGCCGCGAAGGGGCCTAACGAGGGGCCGCGAAGGGGCCTAACGAGGGGCCGCGAAGGGCCTTACGAGGGGGCGCGAAGGGCCGTTAAGGGCAGGCGCGACGCGCGCCTAGGGTAGGAAAAATTTCAGTGGTGGGCCCAAGGATCGAAAAACAGCTCTATACCATGTGAGAATCGAGAAGGAATGAGTGAGGATGATTGCACTAGCAAGCACTTGGATACATATAGCAAACCCTTAACAGGGTTGTACTCACTACAGAGTACCCCACTGCAGACTAGAGAAACATAATGTTCTGACACTTTTGAGACGTCTCAAAAGATCTGAAGGCCAGTGGCACATATGGGAGGGGTTTGGGGAAGAGGGATTTTAGATGGGGTTTGAGATGGGATGAGGTGTGGGATAGGACGAATCCGTGTGTGCAGACTCTCCAGAGAGCACAGTAACCCCCCAAGTGCTGATCATACTGAATGATTGATTCTCCCCATCTTATCCCTCCGCTTCATTTCCTCCGTTTCAACCCCTCTGACTCTCCTCCGTCTCACCCTGGACTTCCCCTGGCCGTCGATCGTGCACTGATCCGACAAACACAAGCCCGTCACGGCCACCGCGTGTCTGACAGCTGGCAGCTCGCCGTTTGTCAGGTACACGTGGTGCGTGAGGTAGATGGCGGGTGTGCGATCCAACAGCGCGCCACGTAAGCATGCTTCGTTATCGCACCACGTGGCAGGCGGGCGACTGTCCTCACCCCCTTCTCTCCCATCTCGTCCCCCTTCCCCGTCCGCGAATGTCGGCCATTCAGCGCTGCCTCCGCCGTCCCCGTCCCCACCGGCGGTGTTTCCCCCGTCCCCTCTCCCTTCCCCATCCCCATCCCCTCCGCCGTCACCTCCCCTTCCCCCTCCGTCGTCGAATCCCCCGTCGGTTCCCCCGTCCTCTCGTCCAGTCGAAGTGTGGTGCACGATCTCGCCGTCATCGCCGCCGCTTCCCCCACGTGCTCCATCAGCAGAGGTACCAACATGTTCTCCCCTGCGCGCACCATCTACTTCTGACACCGGTGTCTCTGCTGCTGTTGGCGCGCGCACCGCCGCGCAGTACGCATCCTCGCTAGTGGAAGGTTCGGTATAAGGGGGTCTCTTCCAGCAGCAACTTTCTTGCGCCATCGGCGGTGGACGTGACGGGGCGCTGCGGATTGTTTCCAGGGAGATATGGATGGGGAAGGTCGTATCTTTCTGGAACGGGGTGTGCCTGGGGAAGGCGGGATCTGACCGCCTCTGGGATGCGAATGGGTACTCTCGGAAGCAGATAAGGTACACGTGCTGCGTGAAACGCCATACTGCAGAGTTGGAATAGTTGATCACCGGAGGGACGAGCCTGAACCGTGTTAAGACAGAAGAGTATGAAGCTGATACCGAGAGCCAGGGGAAAGACAAAAAAACGTGGACGGGGCATTGACGTTGCCTTGCTTTCCATGATGGCGTGTCTTTTTCCTGCTGACGTGAAAAGTATCGACGCAACACGCGTTAAAGTGCATTAGAGAGCGAGCCCGATAATGTGCGTCGGGGACTCAACCTTGACGCAGCACGGCCGTGAGTGGCGATTACCAGAGTCGATACGCACTAGTGGTCACTCTTAGAGCAGAGCACGAGATATGCTCTTCTGTTGCCGTGCAGTGGCGGAGAGAGAAAGATGAAGAAAAATGACAGTGCAAAATGTGGCAAATTTGATTATGAAGCATATTTGGGAAGAAACGCGGCTCGAAGGTGTTGGACATGGCGGTGCGACAAAGGCTTTCGTCACGTACCACAAAGGCCGTTTGATAGTTGACGACTCTCGTAAATACCCAATGGTGTTCATCATCCGGCCTCGTTCGCGCCGGCGAATCGGCTGCGAAGCTCGCCTTGCGAAAGGAGCACATTTGGGAGGTTATGGATACGAAAGGCAGATGCAAACCTTGTGCAATTCTGCAAAACAGCATGTGGAGTGTAGACGTTACAGATGAACTGTAACTCAAATAAAGGTGGAGATTTCGCTAGAGCTCGCTGCTGGCAACTGCGATGGAGAAAGTACAAGTCTGCGCCAGCACAGCACGCTCTCCGCCTGCCTAATGGAGCTACCATGAGGCTGATTGGTCGGAACACGTTTCACCCGTCAGCTGCTTCCAGAAGCACGAGCGGGAACGCGATCTTCCAGACAAACACACACGAACGGCGACCATCCGTGAGAAGAATCTGGATCGTCGGATGAGGGCGTCGCACCAGCATTCCCATTTGTTCGGTTGAAACGGTGCAGTACGTTGAGCTGCGGTCTGGAGCTGTTCGTCCAGTACACGTGGTGAGGAAGTGGCAGATGAGTTCACTGCTTGTTCCATAAATACGGTTGAGCACGATGCTGCGGTCCATCAAAATGGGTAGTTATCTTCACCGTTCTAAACCAGTATTTACCCGTCTGAAATCAGGACGAGCTCGTCTGCCATGGCCCTTGTATGTTTGGCATCGATATCTCCACATCTCAAATCCGGAAGTGAGATATTTCAGAGCTTTCTGTTGGATCCTCATCAGATAAATATGTGAGGCATATATCTCAGGTTCTGACAATGAAGTCACGTTAGTCTAAGCTCTTTAGACGTCGAGGCTACTAACGCGTTGGTCACGGAAAATCGAGGCAACGCAACGTGAAGTCTCTAGTTTGTCATTGTCTTGCTTCGTAACCTGCCTTTCAGAATCGAGTTTCAATGAAGAAGAAGCTCGTTTGAGAAACAACGTGATTCAGTAACCTAGTTTCGTTCAGTTAGGAACAAATTTCATCTTTGTTCGTCTCCTGTTTTCCGGATTTCGTCCGTCAGGATTAAGCAAAGAGATTACACGCCGTCTATCCATGGCGGCGACAAACGGCGATCCAGCCCATAAACAGCACCAGCAAAACGGCAGTGCAAAAAAAAATGTTAAGGTAACGCATCAAGGATCAGGAGGGCTTATTTGGTTAGCTCTGGCTGCTGCAGTCGCCGTCGTGGCTGTAGCGGTGACAGTATCGCGACCGGAATATGTCACCGCCGCTGCTGCGAAAAGCAGCGAGTTTTGTAACCAGTTGCTGCGACAATGGGGCGTGAAGCCTGTTGAGGAGGTACCAGGAACAGGAGCTTCTACACCGCCTGTCGAGGCGGCGGCAATCTCGAGGAAACCGGCGGCGTCGTCAGCATCCGTTACATCTCAACCGGATTCTGGTTGCACATGTCAGGTACGTACGGTGCGTGTCAGTGCTCATGACGCGCCAGGTAAGCACTTGACGCTCTTAACGCTCCTCGCGGTCCTCAAGTCTCACTCTGAGCTGCGTCATACTTCGTGCTCCGCAAGGCGTATCATTTCATACTATCCTGCCATGGAATAAGTGTCTTTGCTCTTAAACTCTGCACTCTAGCAGCCGTGTCCCTTTGCCTCAATATCTTCATCTTTTCTGCCAACTTCCCTGTTCCTGGTCTGGTCCCTGCCACGTGTCACCTGCAGGTGAGGCGGCTGTCAGGTGTGGTGGACGACTGTTGCTGTGAGTACGAGACAGTGGACGAGCTCAACTCGCACGTGCTACAGCCGCTGCTCACTCAGCTCGTCAACACCACTTTCTTCAAGTACTTCAAGGTCGGTTTGATGCGGTACTGCAAGGTAGTCCATATGCATGTCAGAACGCACCACATGCGTAGCAGACAGCGGACGAGCTCAACTCGCACGTGCTACAGCCGCTGCTCACTCAGCTCGTCAACACCACTTTTTTTAAATACATCAAGGTCGGTTCAATGCGGTACTGCGATGTGCGTGGCGGAAGTAGAGGGGTTGTCAGAACACGCGAGTACGAGACAGATGGTGCGTGGTGGGTTCAGATGGTCGTCAGAGCACACGAGGTGAGTAGGACACAGTGGGACGAACTCAATTTGCCCGTGCTACAGCCACTGCTGACTCAGCTCGTCCACACCACCTTCTTCAAGTACTTTAAGGTCGGTTCAGTGCGGCATTGCAAGGTACATGGTGGTCTAGATAGATACCCAAACACAATGACACGAGTACAAGACAGTGGATGAACTCTACTCGCACGTGTTACAGCTGCTGCTGACCCAGCTCGTCAACACCACCTTCTTTAAGTACTTCAAGGCCGGTTCAATTCGGTGCTGTAAGGTGTGTAGTGGTTCCAGAGGGGTTGCTCCCACGTGCTACAACCGCTGCTGACTCAGCTCGTCAACACCATCCCTACCCACTCCACCCCACCCCATCCCCCCCTGTCAGGTTCGTCTGTGGTGTGACTGCCCCTTCTGGCCCAATGATGGCATGTGCCACTCAAGGGACTGCTCCGTGGGGGAGTGCAAGGACGATGAGGTTCCAGCCCTTCTTTTCCTCCCACTTCCACTCCCCACCGCATCCCACCCCTTTGCACCCCTTCTCTCAGGTTCGTCTGTGGTGTGACTGCCCCTTCTGGCCAGACGACGGCATGTGCCACTCCAGAGGCTGTTCTGCAGTGCAGTGTAAGGACGGCCAAGTCCCTTCCCTCTTACTCCATCCAACCGCACTGTACCCCACCCCTTCGCACCCCTCTCTCTCAGGTTCGCCTCTGGTGTGACTGTCCCTTCTGGCCGGATGACGGCATGTGCCACTCCAGAGACTGTTCTGTGGGGGAGTGTAAGGACGACGAGGTTCCCCCCGCCCTCCGCTGCCCCTCCCCGCCCGCACCCTCGCTGCTCCCTGCTGACGTGGACGAGCCGCGCGACGCTGACCTGGACCCGAGTGCAGATGAGTCAGCGTCTGCTGAGTCAGCGGCGGGGTCGGTGGATCGAACGGTGGATCGGAGCGCGTTCCAGGCGTGGGTTGAGGCGGATAACCCATGGACGTCTGATGATGAGAGTGATACAGGTATGGTGAAACGGATACAGTTAAGATGAAACGGATACAGTTAAGATGAAACGGATACAGTTAAGATGAAACGGAGACAGGTGTGGTGAAACAGGGCCTGGGTGGAGGCGGATAACCCGTGGACGGCTGATGATGATACAGGTGAGCAGGTAAAGACACGACTGGTCTCCTGCAGGTGAGCAGGTGAGGCTTGTGAGCAGTTTCAGTTGAGAATTCTCAAAGGCGATTCCCAGCCTTTCTCAGCTTCCCAGGTGTACGCCAACCTAGCCCTGAACCCAGAGTGCTACACGATGTACGGGGGTGACTCAGCGCGGCGCATCTGGCAGGCCATCCACCAGGAGAGCTGCTTCCAGGACTACTGCATCATATCACCCCCCTCCCCTTTTCCCTCCCACTTTCCCCACTCTCAGCCTCCCATGTGTATGTCAACCTAGCCCTGAACCTGGAGAGGTACACGGGGTACGGGGGCGATTCAGCGCAGCGCATCTGGCAGGGGCGTTCCTACATCTCACATTACCACTCCTTTCCCCGCATCCTCTGCCTTACCTTCCACACGCACAGCCTCCCAGGTGTACGTGAACCTGGCCTTGAACCCCGAAAGGTATACCGGATACGGGGGGGACTCGGCTCGCCGCATCTGGCAAGCCATCTACCAGGAGAGCTGCATCCAGGACGGCACCAAGGATACTCCTACATCTCACATTCCCCCTCCTTTCCCCGCATCCCTCTGCTTTCCCTGCCCCTCGCAGCCTCCCAGGTCTATGTGAACCTAGCCCTGAACCCTGAGAGGTATACAGGGTACGGAGGGGACTCCGCGCGCCGCATCTGGCAGGCCATTTATCAGGAGAGCTGCTTCCAGGACGGCACCAAGGACGAGTGCACAGAGCGACGCGTTCTGTACCGGCTGATTTCTGGGCTCCATCAGGCTATATCAGTCCACGTGGCTGCATCCCAGATCTGGGACTCAGCAGCCGGACAGGTGAGCATCTGGCATGCCATCTACCAGGAGTGGGCTGCTGTCAACACGGGTGAGGGAGGGAGGGGGAGTTGTGAAGGGGAAGTTGGTGCTACCAGGAGAGCTGCTTCCAGGACGGCACCAAGGACGAGTGCACGGAGCGGCGGGTGCTGTACCGGCTTATCTCCGGGCTGCACCAGGCCATTACCGTGCACGTGGCTGTACCAGGCCATTACTGTGCACGTGGCTGCTTCCCAGATCTGGGACTCTGCCGCCGGACAGGTGAGGGGGAGGGAGGGGGAGTTGGGGAGGGGGAGTTGGAAAGGGGGAGTTGGGAAGGAGGGCTGGGGATGAGAGAGCTGCTCCAGGACGGCACCAAGGACGAGTGCACTGAGAGGCGCGTGCTGTACCGACTTATATCCGGGCTGCACCAGGCGATTACCATCCATGTGGCTGCATCTCAGGTCTGGGATTGAGCAGCCTGACAGGTGAGGGTGGCTTGACAAGGAAGTGCAGCATAAGGGTTGTGGTGCACGTTTGTGGAACCAAAACCAAGAACGAGTGCACGGAGAGGCGCGTGCTGTACCGGCTTATATCGTCAGTGGGGTCTTAACATCACCATCTTCCACCATCGCGTCGCCAAGTTCCCTTCAAGCTCTCCTTCCCCTTTCCCTTCTTCTCCTACCTCTGCGTCCACCCCCACCCCTTTCCCTTTTCCCCTATCCACCACACAGTGGGGTCCCAACATCACCATATTCCACCATCGTGTTGCCAATTTCCCATCATCACCACTTCCCTTTTCCCCTCTCTCCTTCTCCTTTTCTCCTGTCTCCTCTCCCGCCTCTTCCCCTTCCACCAGTGGGGACCCAACATCACCATTTTCCACCATCGTGTTGCCAAGTTCCCTGAGGTCCTCGCCAACCTCTACTTCACATTCCTCTTCGTGCTCCTCTCTTTGTGCTGCGTGCTCCCCCCCACCCCTTTCCCCGGTCCCCTGCTTCTCCTTCCCTGCTTCCCCTTCCACCAGTGGGGCCCCAACATCACCATCTTCCACCACCGAGTGGCCAAGTTCCCCGAGCGCCTCGCCAACCTCTACTTTACCTTCCTCTTCGTGCTGCGTGCTGCTACCAAGGTAAGCGCATTCTCTGGATTTGGTTTCTGGTTTGGGTTTTTTTTAGATTGTTAAGTAATTGAGTGCCTCACCAACCTCTACTTAACCTTTTTGTTTATGCTGCGCACTGCCACCAAGGTGGGCGAATTCTCTGGGTTTGTGTTTGAGTCAATTCTCATATTTTTCTCATCTATGATCTATTAGTGGAAAGAAATTAGCGGACCAAAACAAGCTTACCTTTCGCGGTTCTCCTGTTGCGGGCGTCATACGACTCAGCCTGGGTTGTCGTATCACCCTTCCCTACTCCTGCCCCTCCTCCCACCTCCCGCTCTGACCACAGGCGGCGGATTTCCTTTCACATGCATTGTACGACACGGGGAACCCTGTAGAGGACCAGCAGACGGCAGCGCTGGTGCAGCAGATGGTGCGGAATGAGAGGCTGCAAGCTGCTTGCTGGAAACACCCTCCAATTCCCCCCTTCCTTCTCTCCTTCCTTCCCCCACCACCTTTGTTTGCCACAGGCTGCGGATTTCTTATCACGAGCATCGTACGACACAGGCAACCCCTTAGAGGACCACCAGACAGCGGCGCTGGTGCAGCAGGTGGTGCGGAATGAGCGGCTGCAGGCGGCTTGCCCGTTGCCGTTTGACGAGGCGAGGATGTGGCGAGGGGATGAGGGGCCGCAGCTCAAGCAGACGTTGCAGGGGCACTTCAGGAACATCAGGTAGGTTCTAGGACAACGGGCGGGTGCTTTAGACACAGCAGGTTTTGCAGAGATACGCCGTTGTTTGATGAGGCGAGGATGTGGCGAGGAGATGAGGGGCCGCAGTTGAAGCAGACTCTGCAGGGGCACTTTAGGAACATAAGGTGTGTGCTGAATGGTCTGTTGGTCTGGAAGCGTGAGACGGGTGCTTCAGCAGCAGCAGGTGGTGTGGAATGAGAGGCTGCAGGCGGCTTGCCCACTGCCGTTTGACGAGGCGAGGATGTGGCGAGGCGATGAGGGGCCTCAGCTGAAGCAGACGTTACAGGGGCACTTCAGGAACATAAGGTGCGTCCCGAATGGTCCTTTGGTCTAGGAGCATTGGTTGGGTGGTTCAGGAGCAGCAGGTGGTGCGGAATGAGAGGCTGCAGGCGGCCTGCCTGTTGCAGTTTGACGAGGCGAGGATGTGGCGAGGGGATGAGGGGCGTCAGCTGAAGCAGACACTGCAGGGGCACTTCAGGAATATCAGGTGAGTGTGTCTGGATGCATCAGTATTTAGGGAATAGCAGGTGGGTGTTTTCAAAGCATCGGTGGTGTTTCCACAGCCTGTGGGGCGAGCTGGAGATTTTCGGGCTCGCCACGGCCCTCAAGATTATATTTTAAACCACTCTCAATCACTCTCCACGTCTTCCACCAACCTGATCATGGACTGTGTGGGGTGTGAGCACTGCCGCTTGTGGGGGAAGCTCGAAAATTTCGGGCTCGCACGGCCCTCGAGATTATCTTCTAAACCACTCTCAATCACTCTCCACCTCTTCCACCAGCCTGATCATGGACTGTGTGTGGTGTGAGCGCTGCCGCTTGTGGGGGAAGCTCGAAAATTTCGGGCTCGCCATGGCCCACAATATCCTCTTCTCAACCACTCTCCACCTCTCTCCACCTCTTCCATCCCCACCCCAGCCTGATCATGGACTATGTGGGGTGTGAGCGCTGCCGCCTGTGGCGAAATCTGAAGGTCCTCTTCCATTGCATCCTCACCTATTTCAACCACTCGCAACCACTCTACACTCCTCCCCATTCCCACAGCCTGATCATGGACTGTGTGGGCTGTGAGCGCTGCCGCCTGTGGGGTAAGCTGGAGATTCTTGGCCTCGCCACGGCCCTCAAGATCCTCTTCTGTGTTGATGGCAACGGTCACGGGAATGGCAACGGTGGCAATGGTAATGGCAATGGGAATGGCAATGGTGGCAAAGAACATGGGTATGTGCAGGGGCATGGAGTGGAGCAGTTGAGTCTGCAGCGCAATGAGGTGGTGGCTCTGTTCAACACGCTCTGGCGCTTCTCCCATGCGCTCAAGACCACTGCTGAGCTCGTCACCCTCCTGGAGATGAACCCTCCCCCGGATGTACCTGCAGTTGGAGCAGCGCCGGTAGTGTCTGTGTCTGGTGCTGGTGCTGTGAGTGGTGGTGGTGGTGGTGGCAGTGGGAGTGGTGTGGGTGGTGCTGCTGACACAGTGCCGCTGCAAAAGGTGTGGGAGAGAAGCCAAGAGAAAGAGAATCATGACTACAAAGCCAGTGCTACGCAGTAGTGCGGCCTGGATTGACTTCGTGATATGCTGTACAGTAGCACATTGGAAGTAAATGTTGAAATAATAAGATGCTATAACATGTTAGTGGATGCCTACAAGGTGTTGCAGTGTGCCACACCTTCATTTCTTTCATGTGCTACCTTACCTTCGTGCTGCAATTTAGTGTCGTCATATTCCTTGCAGAAACCAGCGTGTAGCACTGCGCTGCCTGTAACACTCTACATTCTTACGAAATGATCGAGTGCGTGGTTTCGCCTTCTGTCGCACTTGGGCGTGGTGCCAAAGCCCGTAGGTTGTACACGGTATGATGCGGTTATGATGCGGTTAAGAGCGATGATTTCGGATCACGCCCTCGACGTTCACCCCACCATGCCGCCATGCATATATCACCTCGTCCCTTGGGAATGTCGCACAGACAGGCAGGCAAACATGCTTTGCAAAGACCCACTTCGGCAGGCCCAAAAGATTCTCACCTTATCACCATCATCATCAGAACCTCGAGAGAAACCACACATCGCTCTTTGATAGTACCACCAGATGAGAGTTTTTTGTTGCTGCCAGCAAGTCTAGCAGTGGTGTATGGCTAGCTAGTCTCTCTGTGTTTCCTGCAAGGCGTTTTCTGCTGTTACCAGAAAAACGTTGCGAGAACATTCGTGGCGGAGTTGCTTAGAATCCCAACCTTGGACCTGAATTAGATTACGTTACCGAATTCGTGATAGCGACTCGCTAGCGGGATTTCATTCGATCCTTCACGAAAGTGCTGTCCGAAACCGACATCGGTTTTGGACGTGCCGTTGCGATGAGTCATCTCTACTGGAACGGCTCGAAGCTGTTTAACGATCCCATTCACGACCATATCACGGTCGACAAGGTACGAAGGTGTGCTTTGAGTCGACTGCTAACAATCCGATTTACGGGAACGGTTCGAAGCTGTTTAACGATCCCAATTACGACCATATCATCCTCAACAACGTACGGGTATATCGTGTGACATTGTAACGGGTTGGCTTTTGGTTCGTCGCTCGAAAGCTGTTTTACGACCCCATTCACGGCCATATCACGTTCTCACACGGTATGGAAATGCTGCTGAGTCTGAATCGAAAAGGCACGGACAAAGGTCACGATGGCTACGGAGCAAAGGTCACGGGATAAAAGCACATGGCTGTCAAGTTACAAGATTCAGCACAACGGGTGAGTGAGCCAGGATTCAGTGCCAATGACAGGGGATGATACTCATGCTTCTTCCTTTCGTGCAGCAAAACAGCTTCTCCTTTGCTCGTCTAATTTCACTCCTCTCCACGCCTCTCTCTCCCCATCCCTTCCAACCCTCCCCTCTTCAATCCCGCCACAGACCAGCCTGAGCATCATCGACACATGCGAGTTTCAGCGGCTAAGGCACATCCGCCAGCTAGGCGTCTGCCACTACGTGTACCCGTCAGCCAATCACACGCGGCTAGAGCACTCCATAGGGACCTCCCATCTGGCCAATGAGGTGGTGGAATCTTTAAGGCGGCAGCAGCCAGAGCTGCGGATCAATGATGATGACGTCATGGCGGTTACTCTGGCTGGGTTGTGCCATGACATGGGGCATGGGTGCTTCAGTCACATGCTCGATAACTCCATCTTCTCCCACTTCTGCTCTGGATCCGATTGGTACGTACTTGGCAATCTTTTGAGGCGTCTTGAAGCTGGGTTGTGCCATGACATGGGGCATGGGTGCTTCAGTCACCTGCTGGATAACGCCATCTTCTCCCACTTCTGCTCTGGATCCGATTGGTACGTACTTGGCAATCTTTTGAGGCGTCTTGAAGCTGGGTTGTGCCATGACATGGGGCATGGGTGCTTCAGTCACATGCTCGATAACTCCATCTTCTACCACTTCTGCTCTGGATCCGATTGGTACGTACTTGGCAATCTTTTGAGGCGTCTTGAAGCTGGGTTGTGCCGTGACATGGGACATGTGTGCTTCAGTCACATGCTGGATAACGCCATCTTCTCCCGCTTCTGCCCTGGATCCGACTGGTATGTGCTGCACAGTCGATTGTACCTGCACGATTCCCCTTGCAAGGCCACTTTTTGAACACCTTTGCATCTCTCTAAACATTTTTCAATCTTGTTGAACACCTTTGCACCGCATTGAATCATCAGGCACCACGAGAAGCGGTCAGTGGAGCTGGTGGATCGAGTGATTGACAACAACAACATCGACATAGATCCTTATACCGTGGCCACCATCAAGGTGAGAGAGGGCATGACGGCATGAGGGTGAGAGGATGAGGTGAGAGCATGAGGGTAAGATAGCACTGAAGGGGAGAGGGTGGAGGTAGATGAGAGGCTGTCGGTCAGTGCAGCTGGTGGATCGAGTGATTGACAACAACAGCATTGACATTGATCCTGATACCGTCGCCACGATCAAGGTGAGAGAAAGGAGGAGGATGAGATAGTGTTGAAGGGGAGAGGGTGAAGGTACACGAGAAACGGTCAGTGATTGACAACAACATTGACATTGACCCTGATACCGTTGCCACCATCAAGATGAGATAATACTGCAGGTGAGAGGTGAGCGCGGCGCAGCATTTTCGGGGACAGCCTGCAAGTGAAGAGGATTGGCAATGGCAACAACAACAGCATTGACATTGGTCCTGACACCGTTGCCACCATCAAGGTGAGAGACAGGAGAAGAGTGAGGGATAGTGCTGAAGGGGAGAGGGGGTGAAGGTACACAAGAGACGGTCAGTGCAGCTGGTGGATCGAGTGATTGAGAACAACAACATTGACATTGACCCTGACACTGTCGCCACCATCCAGGTGAGTCTCATCCTCAACATTTTGCCACCTCCACCCCTCCGCATGTTTGGGTCCATTATCCATTGCGAAGATTTTTTTAGAACTCTTACAAGTGGCTTTCTCTGCCTTTTCCGTCCACCTACCTGCCCTGCTCTTTCCGTTTCCTTACTCCCCTTCTTTCCCCCCAACTATCCATCCCCCCCTGCTGCCCGCCCGTTGTTAATCCCCCCACCCCCAGAGCCTCATTCTACCTGACAAGTCCAAGAGGAAAAGGGTAGGTGAGGGGGGAAACGGGTGGAGACTGGAAAAACAAAGGCAGGGAAAGATGATGGGTGAGGGGAAAAAGAATCGAGTGGGTGAGCGGAAGGGAATGGTTGGGTCATGTCAGTGACGTGAGGGTGAGGTGAGGTTGAGGGCTCAAAAGCTCCTGAAAAAACTCCTGAAACGTGCATTTCCATTTGTGGAGAGTATGCAGTGCTCGTTTTCCCTGTGGGTCAGGGAGAAGGAGCCATTATGAATCATTGTGGCAAAAAGATTTTCGAAGCATCACGCGAACGGTCGCTGAAATATTTTTTTTTCCGCTGCCCGGAGTATGTGCAGGACAGGACTACACTGGGAAGAAGTTCTATGGGATATCGTGGCCAATGCGCTGTGAGGCACCTGACTGACTGTCTCCCTCCTCCCCTGTGTGTGTGGTGTGGAGTGTCCGTATGCAGGACTATAAGGAGAAGGAATTTCTATGGGACATTGTAGCCAATGCACGCACGGGAATAGATGTGGACAAGTGAGTGAGCCCGTGTTCTCTCCCATCCTTCAACAGTGCACCCCGTTTTTCCTTAGTTCTTTAGCAGTAAAATTACTGCTCGCTCATTATGTGGTGTCCCAAACTGTTCATTGCTGCGTGGTTTACAGGTTTGACTATCTGGCTCGTGACAGCTACTTCTGCAACGTCAAGTCGTGCTTCGATCACAAGAGGTGAGTGGGGGGGATGTGGGATGAGCATGGGGAGATGAGGAGGGTGAGGTGAGAGGGTGAGTGTAAGGAGGTTTTTTTTTTAGAATTCTCAATGAAACCCTGCAGCGTTGGATGCACTATTTGGTGGCACCTTCAGTGTTTGCTGCGTGGCCTTTCTTTAGCGCTGGCACCTTCAGAAACCCTTGCGTTCTCTGTGTCGCCCATCGGCCCCCCTGCTGTCCTTCTCTCCCTCCCCACAGAATAATTCAGATGATGCGAGTCATAGACGACGAAATCTGCTTCAAGTACAGAGAGTGTGAGTGATGCCCTACTTCATTGCCATTCTTTTCCCTTCTTGCCCACCCTTACCCTCCGCCCTCTCCTGTTTGTCTCGTATGCTCTCTTGCCTTCTCTTCTCCTCTCGTACCCTCTCTTGCTCTCCCCTCCCCCGTGCCACTCCCCCCTTCCCTCTCCCCCCTCTCCTTTCCCCTCCTCCCTCACACTTCTCTGCAGTAGAAACAGTGAATGACCCACCTGTTTTGGCTGAGGGCCAAGATGTGTTTTCCTTTACCCCTTCTACCCCCTCCCCATTCCCCTGTCCCCCCCCCCCCCCTCCTCCCTCGCACTTGTCTGCAGTGGAGACAGTGAATGACCGACCTGTTTTGGCTGTTGAGGCCGTCAAGGCCATGATCCTCGAGGCCCTCTCCCACGCCCAATACATCCTCCGCTTCCCCTCCGGTCTCCCTCCCTCCGTCCTCCCTCCTGCCTCCTCCCTCCTCCCCTCTCCCCCTCTCCGCCTCCCCTCTCCCCCCCCTCCCCTGTCAACAGTAGAGACAGTAAACGAGCTGTTTTGGCTGCGCGCCAAGATGTATCGCAACGTGTACAAGCGCAAGACAGTCAAGGCCGCTTTCCCCCCCAACCCTGCCACCACCCCAACCCCAACCCCAACCCAACAAACCCCCTCTCCCTCCTCCCTTTCCCTGCAGTGGAGACAGTAAACGAGCTGTTTTGGCTGAGGGCCAAGATGTATCGCAACGTGTACACGCACAAGACAGTCAAGGCAGCCGAGGCCATGATTCTCGAGGCCCTCACCCACGCCAACCACGTCTTTCGCTTCGGGGAGATTGCCCTGACACGAGATCTTGATAGATTCTGCCAGCTGGACGATACGATTCTGCGGGAGATTCTGCGGTCTCGGGACCCCAGCTTGGCAAAATCGCAGGAGATTCTGAGGCAGCTGGAGCAGCGACAGCTGTACCAGGTAACGTGCCGAGTAGTGCCTATATTGTCTCGTGTACGGAAGAGAAGTGGGGATGTAAGGATCCTGCGGTCTTGGGATGGGACCCTAGCCTGGCGAAATCGCAGGAGATTCTGAGGCAGCTCGAACAGCGTCAGCTGTACCAGGTAACTGCTGGGTCCCTGCACCATTCTGCACCATTCTGCACCATTCTGCACCATTCTGAGCACTCACCTGCCTCCCTTCTTACCCTCCCCTCTCCACCCATCTTTCCCCTCCCCATCTCTCTCCCCCCCCTTCGAACATGAACGAGTTTGTGGTGCCTGTGGACGTTCTGCTCCCTTCTGACCACTCACCTGCCTCCCTGCACTCTCTCTGCTCCCTTCTGTCTGCTCCCTTCTTACCCCCTCATATCCCCGGCATATTCCTCCCCCTCTCCCCCCACCCCCGGCAGTACATGAACGAGTTTGTGGTGCCGGTGGATGCGCGGCACCACTTCAAGAAGCGGATGTTGCTAACACTCTGTCTCCTCCCGTCTCAACCCGCTTTCCCCTTCCGCTCCACCCCACCGCCTCCCCGCCTTCCCCCCCCCCGGCAGTACATGAACGAGTTTGTGGTGCCTGTGGATGCGCTGCAGCACTTCAAGGATCTCACAGTGGGCGAGCTGCTGCGGCATGTGAGTGCGCTTGGCCATGGGTGAGTGTGCTTGGCCATTGGTGAGTGTGCTTGGCCATGGGTGAGTGTGCTTGGCCATGGGTGAGTGTGCTGGACACTGTGTCTGTAGAGATAGTCATAGGCATGTGAATTCGTTATGCCTGTGGATGCGCTGCAGCACTTCAAGGAGATCACAGTGAACGACCTGCTGAAGCACGTGAGTGTGGGAGGGTGTGTGTGTGTGTGTGTGTGTGTGTGTGTGTCTGTGTGTGTGTGCTGTATATTGTGCCTGTGTGAATGTGTGAGTGCACTTAGTATTAGGCATGTAAGGCTGTGGTGCCAGTGAATGCGCGGCACCACTTTAAGAAGCTCACAGTGGACGAGCTGCTGAGGCATGTGAGTGTGTGAAAGAATGGGTGTGGAAGGGTGTTAGGGGGGGTGAGTGTGCATTGCATGAGGCATAAGAGTGCTTGCAATACGCTGCAAGTAAGGCTGTGGTGCGCAGTTGATGCGCGGCACCACTTGAAGAGGCTCACAGTGGACGAGCTGCTGCGGCATGTGAGTGTGTGAGGAAGTGTGTGTGTGTGTGTGTGTGTGTGTGTGTGTGTGTGTGTGTGTGTGTGTGTGTGTGTGTGTGTGTGTGTGTGTGTGTGTGCCGTACATCGTGTGCGTGTGAATGTGTGGTGCGCATTGGATGCGCTGCATCACTTCAAGAAGCTCACAGTGGACGAGCTGCTGCAGCATGTGAGTGTGTGAGTATGTGCGTGGCCGTGCACTAGCCGGCACTATATGAGAGTGCCTGTGTGCGTGCCTGTGCACTAGACCAACTGGATGCGCTGCAGCACTTCAGGACGCTCACAGTGGACGAGCTGCTGAGGCATGTGAGTGTGCGCGAGTGTGAGGTCGTATGTGTATGTGAGAGTGTGAGTGTCAAATCAATTTGTGCACCAGTTCAAGTGTGGGAGCGAGTGCGGGTGTGCCTGCCTGTGCACCAGACCCAGTGGATGCGCTGCTGAGGCATGTAAGTGTGCAGGGAAGGAAGTATGCGGGTGTGGGCAAGGCGATCAAGTGATGGTAGCTAGCTGTTTACCATACCATACCAAATGGTGTGTGCTGTGCAGACACATGACCCTGTACCTGCATGCCATGTGACTCCACACACCATTTGACTGGGAGCCATGGTAAGGCACAGGGTCATCCCTGAAGGATTATGGCGGCCAGGTAATGTTTACTAGCCGCGTTTACCATACCATTTTCCCATCCACCTTTGTTCCTTGGTACCATGGCATGGCAGGGCATGGGGTCATACCTGAGGGAGCATGGTGTCCAAGTGATGGAAGCCAGCTCTTCACCATACCATTTACACATACCCATATTTCCATCTACCTGCATGCCATGGAGCTATTGCAGGGCACGGGGTCATACCTGAGGGAGCATGGTGACCAAGTGATGGTAGACAATATTAAGATCGACTACGGGCAGGACACAGACAACCCCCTCGACAAGTGAGAGCCTTCCCGCACTCACATTCCTCACAACCCTCCCTACACTCATGTCGAATAATGTCTTCTGCCAGAGTCGGACAAGGTGAGGTTTCTCGAGAGTGATGGTGTACAATATTAAGATCTACTATGGGCAGGACACAGACAACCCCCTTGAAAAGTGAGTAAGATATTATATCCCGACAAGTTAGTCAAAACATTGAATACGGACAATAGAATGATGGTATCACCTTAGAAAACCCACTCGAAAACTGAGTGTTGTAATCCACCCTTTCTCATTCTATCACGTCTCTCATTCTCTCTCATCCTTCCCCACTCTTGTTGCGCGCCATGTGTGCGAACAAACCATGGCTACAACAACCTTGCTGCTACCAACGATCACGTTGGTACAACGACCATTTTGCAACAACCACCACGGGGGGTGTTGCTCCGTCCATTTCGCCTGCCGGACCCATGTGATGCACCACACCACATGGCTGCTACAACCATGCTGCTACAACAACCACGTGGGGTGTTGATTCCTTTTGTGATGCACCCATGCGGTGTACTTGTTCCTCAGGGTCCGCTTCTTCGATGTGAGTTGTCAGAGCTAGGGTTTCAGGCATGTCATGATGTCATTCCACCTGGAGGTTAATCTGATGTCACACATCACACACACACGCACATGTCTGACATGCATCACATCACACATGTGGACATGTGAATCACCATCCTCTTTGAAGGTCTCTCCTACCAAGCACTCCTGACGATCATTCACCCCCACATTCTTTTGCTACACCTACATTGTTTTTGCATTTCGAGACTGCAGACTCAGGAGCACCGGGACCGGGACGATCCTTCAAAGAAGCTGTCCAAGTTTCCCATCCCATGCCATCGCATGAGCACCATGATGCCACAGAATTACAAGGACATGACCGTTCGAGTGTACATCAAGACAAGAGATCAGCGCCTCGTAAGTTCATTCATTGTCGCTTTTTCTCATTGCACAACCTACCTGCTGTCGCTGTTCATGTAATGCAAGTTGGCTTCGTTGTTTGTTTTGGTTTTTGTTTTTGTTTATTGTTGATTGCTTTTCTTCCCTTTTCTTGTTTTCCAGGAGGATGCGGTGAAAGAGGCGTTCGTCAATTACCAGATGAAGACATTTGGTCGCGAAGTCATGCGCACTCCAAGCCGTAAGAGAATGCGCAGACACCACGAAAATGGAGGGATAACCAATGGGGGTGGAACTGGAACAGAGGAGTTCACGGGGGATGATGATGATGTGGTTTGTTCACAAACTGCAAGGAAGCTGATGTGACATGGTGTTCGGAACCCTGATGATTGTACAGTCAAGCTTCAGCATTTTTGTTTTTTCTTGGGCTTTCTGAAGTGAATTCTCAGTCCTTCGAATTACTTAGTTTAACCACTTCCTCGTTTCATCTCAGGATCAGGCCTCACGTTTTCAGAGTAAATTACTCTGTTTCTCTGAAAATCAGAGTCATTTTTGAAAGTAACTCTGTACCCGCTGGGTAATTTTTTTGGGACTTCCGATTTCTCTGATTTGTCAGAGTTATGCTGTAGTTTACTCTGAGGCCTCTGGGTTTTTTTTTCGGGGACCGAATTTACTCTGTATAGGGAATACCTGCCGGCCCCCCCTCCCCCGCCCCCCTCCCCTCCCCACCTCCCCCTGCGTTTAGCGGGTTTTCCCCGAATCGTCGAGATCATTCTCCTGATTTCTGTCGTGTGTTGGCGGCAATATGAGCACTGATTGGCTACCGTAGTTTGACAACTTTCCCAACCAGCGCACGATGCCAGCCAGTCCCCTCTCTCTTTATGTCTGAAGTGAACGTCGACGTTTCCCGACGAAACTTTGAGGGACGTCGAGGAATCCTGACGGTCGGAACGCTCAATCCGAGGGTTGAGATTCGCCAGCATTCCCCGACGAAACTGTACATCCGTCGACATTTCACTTCAGACACGCTCTTTGGGGGTGTCCGAAGTGAAACGTCGACATCCGTGGACATCCGTTTGGGGATGTCGGTAAATCCTGACGGTTGGAACTGTCGATCCGAGGGATGACATTTACCGACATCCAGCGACATCTATTGACGTTTCACTTCGGACACGCCCTTAGTCAGATTATCGGTGCCGCCAACACCTCACTCTGAAACATCGCAGTGAGGGGGGAAACGTGGGCGACGCGGAAATGCAAGTACAAAAGGCGTAACAAAAACCTATTAAGGTCATGGTACACCAAACTTAACTAACATCAGAGTAGAGAAAAATATTACTCTGACGTGCCTGGGTTTTTTTTTGAAAGTATAGGGTTACTCTGACAAATCAGAGTAAGGCGCAGGAACAACCCTAGATTTCAGAGTTGGGAAAAAAACTACTCTGGAAATCAGAGTACCTAAAATCCAAAAATAGGCCCTGCTCAGGATGCTGCCCCAACAATCCACAGCTATAGTGATGGCCACATAATATTCCCTATATTAGTGATATTATTGAACATACTTCTGCAAGTATAATGGAAGATTACTAGGAGGAATGTGAAGCTTTATTATTACTAGCAATACTATTGATTGGATGCAAGGGCGCGGTGCATTTGCTGCATTAGACTGAGGGACAACTTAGAACCGTAAATCAAAGAACGTATCTAAACGTATACCTAGTTCGAGTCTAATGCACCAAGCCCTAACCAGCCATGTTTGGTTAAGGGGCAATATATTGTTGGCACTTCCAAAAGGTGGCTATTGAATATCGTGTTAATCTGAGTATTGAGCGTACAAAATTGTTCCACTCAAGCCGACCTTCTAAAAGGGCTGTACATGAAACTCAAAATATATTATCTTGCATTTAACGGGGGGACACGGTGATCTGGTCAGCGGACACAATCAGGTCACCCTTCCTGTACTCGGACCAGGCAGCCACGGGCCAGGTAGCACCGCGGCCGAGCAGGCTCAGAGCGAGGGGAACATCGATGATGATCTCCTTCTCGGTGGGCTTGGCTCCCTCCTTGGTCTTGATCAGGTAAGAGCGGCCGACCCATCCGATCCAGCCAGCAATGTACAGGAAGACGATGCCGGGGGACACGAACTCGCCCGCGTGCCTGAAGTCACCATCGACGATCAGGTGGGGAAGACCGTCGGTGCCGCACAGCAGACCGGACTTGCCGTAGAAAGAGAACCGGCGCTCGGTCCTCTCAATGGTGGCCTTGAGAGCCAGAGCGGGGGCAGAGCCGTCCTTGTAGAGCTTGAGGCGGTTCTTCAGCTTCTTGATGGAGTTCTTCTGGCGCTTAGCGAAGGCCTTGGAGTCCTTGCAGGGGGTAAGGCCAGCGACATCGGCGAGTGCGACCTCGGGAACGGCCAAGGCACCGGTGCTGACGATGGCAGCAAGGGCGAGGGCAGAGGCGATCTTGCCAGCCTGCTCGGTAACGTTCTCCTCCTTCTCCGCGGAGCAGACGGTCTTGGCAGACACCTGCTTCACGAAGCACGACGCCTTGGTGGTGGAGAAAGACGCCTTGGAGGACAGGTTCTTGGGTGCAACAAGGGGAGCACCCAGGCCAACAGCAGCCATGGTGACGGCGGCCATTTTTCCTCTAGTTTGGTTACTGGAAGAGGAAGTCTGGCTGCTGAGTCCGGTCTGGAAGGAGATCGCTGCTTGCGGAGAGGAAAGCAAACCTCTGAGAGTCTAAAACTGGATGTGAGGTCTCGCTGATGCAGGTACACCGCTTGGTGGGATTTTCCAGGAGTTCTGTGAAACCCAGCATCGAGCAGCACAAGAATCCCGACAGGTGGCGCCGTTCAATCAGAATTTCGCACACTGGGTCCGTCAACCAATCGGTGAGCTCCAACCCGATAAGGCAGACCGATTTTGTGACCTTCACGGTATTCTGATCCACGTGGAATCGAATGAACGTTGGCGAAGCGTTCGTTATCAGCCCGGATGGTGGCATCTCGTCATAATCGGGGAAAAGCGTCGCGAAAATCTAAATCGCTCACCCAATCGCTGTAGTGCGGCAAATCATTACAAAAAACCTTAGTCCAACATCTCTACATTACATATATAAATATAAGCGTAATAGCACAATTGCTTCCACACACTTCAATAAATAAAACTTTTGCTCTCGGTGTACCAGGATCAAACCACATTCCATGTATTCCCATACATTCAATCACAGAAAAGAATTACAATGGATTCATAATGGTCACATCACAAGGGCCTTAAGATTTATCAAGCGCCTAATCCTCTCTAAAACCACCACACCACACCCATAATCAGTTTGTCCCCCATACATCCCTCCTTACAAGAGAGGCTTTCCCTCAAACTAAGGCTCCTTAAAAAAGCACCAGCTCATTTGGTTGCAGCTACTCCCAGCCCAGATTCCTTCCCACGCCCCTTACAGAACCATCCATCCATGCCCAAGGTACAAAATCCTGGTCAAATCAGCTGGTCTCTGTACTTATGCAAGTTTGTTGCCGTGCTGGTGGACATGCAAGCAACAGTATACTCTAGCAGTGCAGTGTGTCAAAAGGGCTTGGTTGGTTGGTGCATACGGATCAAGAGAGGCAGACAATGATAAGGGATGCATGATTGTAAGTGGACGCGAAAAGCTGCACGCTTGAAGGGCTTTGAAGCTAAAGAACGGATGACGAGAATGGGCGAGACAGGGGCCTCCTCCGAAAAAGACCAGGTGCTACGGGTCCCTGTCAAGGCGTGCGAGATCGTACACCTGCCGAATGTTGCCCGATGCTGCAGCAGCCGGAGCGAGTCGGGTGGAGAGAGGGGGAGAAGCAGGGTGACTTGGAATGCTACATCTGTCTTTTGAAACGTCTCCAGATATGTGTGCACGGGGTGCGTGGGGGGTGCGGGGTGGAGGGTGGTGGGGAGGTGGTGGTGGGGGATGAGGAAAACGGTCATGGAACGGATGAGTGTGAGTGTAGCGCGGATGGGAAACAAAGGAAAACGTCACATAAATGGGATGGAGATAAAACAGGATGGGTATGACAAAAAAGGTGGAGGGAGGAAGGGAGCGACTGACTGAGGAGCCACTCCTTGAAGTGCGCCTGGATGACGTTGGTCAGCTCCCTCTTCCTCCCCTCGTCCAGCACTGCCGTCTTGAGCGTCTGCCTCAGACTCTCCACCGTCTTGGTCTGTCAATCACAGGGGGAGGAGAGGGGAGGGGAGGTGGGGGTAAGAGCAACACAAAGCGGACAACTAGGAAGGTGGCAAAACGAATGGTCACGACTGTGAGCCATGCACAACAGGGCACAACAGGGTTGGCCCGCGCGGCCTGCTGCAGTCTTGAGATGTGTCCACATGCGAGGGCGGCCAGCCACACACCTCATGCTGTGGGGTATTCAAAGGCACGGAGTGGCACACCTTGTGCTGCAAGAGCAATGAGTAACACACCTTGTGCTGCAGGGCGATGAGGTACGTCTTGGGCAGAGCAAACGGGTTAGCCCGTGTGGCATGCTGCAGCAGTGAGTACTGTACCAGTACCTAAACACAAAGGGCACCCAGCCACACACCTTGTGCTGCAGCGCAATGAGGTACGTCTTGGGCAGAGCAAACGGGTTGGCCCGTGTGGCCTGCTGCAGCAGCGGACTGGCGCCCCCCCCTCCACCTGGTTGCTCCTGCTGCGTCCGAAACGGAACCTGTTGCGTTGGGCGAAGGGAGGAGAGGGGGTGAGAGCTCTCATTTTCAAGGGTGCGCAGACACGAGTATCCTGTTCAGCTTCTCCTGATGTGTTCGAAATGGCACCTGATGTGTTGGGAGAAGGGAGGAGAGGGTGTAAGAGCTTTCATTTTCAAGGGTGCGCAGACACGAGTATCCTGTTCAGCCTCTCCTGCTGCGTTCGAAATGGCACCTGATGTTCAGAAAGCGGAGTAGCATTCCACAAATCGCTGAACAGACAAGGAGGGGAAGGAGGGCGAGTGGTTGGTTACCGCACACAGGGGGGGAAAGACTCACAAGTCACCTTGAGCAAACAAGGGAAGCAGCTCACCACAGTTGAACAAGATAGATTCGAACTACTTACCAAAAACAGGCACGGAGACCAAAAACAAGCAGCTTACCACAAACGGCACAAACTTCTCACGTGGCATCAGAATCGCCGTATGCGGCATGGAGAGCACAGAGAGAGTGCCGACAAGCGATGAATGGGAGGAAGAACAGGAGATTGCACACAAGAGAAAGCTACAAGACTCACCACAAACGGCACAAACTTCTCAGGAGGCATCAGAATCGCCGTATCAAGTGCTGCGGCCGCCGCTCCCTCCTTCGCCCCCTCCCCTTCCACTCCACCCGCCCCACCACCACCCACACCAGCCGACCCACCAGCGCCACCAGCAGCAGTACCAGCACCGGCAGCACCAGCGGCAGCAGCAGCGTCTAGTGATCCCAGCGCTAGCGGCATGTCCCACTTGTTCACAGCAGGGTCTACCCCGACCTTTGCGAGGTGGTAATCGAGACGGGGGTAGAAGGTGTTGTAGGGTGCGATCTGCAGCGAGTGGTTGTCTCCGAGAATGACGGGGCGGGAGTTGCAGCCGAGGTAGAAGACGCACTCGCGGCAGTTGGCTATGCGGATCCGAGCGCAGGGGGCGATGAGGGTGAGCCGCTCACAGGCTTCCACCCGCACCACCTGGTGGGGGAGAGGGAGTTGAGGGGGTTGGGGGGGGGGAAGAAAAAGGGTGGAGAGATGGGGGGCACGTCTAGCTGTACACATCAGCATCATGCGCGTCATGTACACATCATACTCGTGGGCAATTTCAAAAGCGTCATGCTCGCACTCGAACCGCCTGGGGTGGAGGGAAGGGGGGGAGGGGGGAAAGCCCCTCCTCTCTCTCCCCTTCAACCCTTCTCTCTCTCCCCGTCACCCCTCCTCTCTCCCCGTCACCCCTCCTCTCTCTCCCCGTCACCCCTCCTCTCTCCCCCCCTCACCCCTCCTCTCTCTCCCCGTCACCCCTCATCTCCTACCCTTCACTCCTTCTCCCTCTCCCATTCACCCCTCGTCTCTCTTCCATTCACCCCTCGTCTCTCTTCCATTCACCCCTCGTCTCTCTTCCCTTCACCCCTCCTCTCTCTCCCCTTCACGCCTCCTCCCTCCCTTTCACCCCTCTTCTCTCTACCCTTCACTCCTTTTCCCTCTACCATTCACCATTCCTCTCTCTCCCTTCACCCCTCTTACCTTCACCCTCCTCCCCCTCACCTTGCCCACAGCGCCCAGCACCACAAAAGAGTCGGAGCAGCCAACAACAGCGCTGGTGTTGGCAAAAGCACAGTATGCAACACGCAACACACCCCTCCTCCCTTTCACCTTCACCCCTCAACCCTCCTCACCTTGCCCACAGCGCCCAGCACCACAAAAGAGTCGGAGCAGCCAACAACGGGGGCGCACTTGAGAGGGAGGGAAGAGATGCGCCTTAGCAGCGCTGGCGCTGGCACAGCAGCAGCGCTGCATGCAGCAAAAACGAACACCCTTCCCATCCCTTGTCTCTTCTCACCTTGCCCACAGCGCCCAGCACCACAAAAGAGTCGGAGCAGCCAACAATGAGGGCGCACTTGAGAGGGAGGGAGAACACCCCTTAGCTTAGCAGTCAGGCGTACCGGTGCTGGCAAAGCAACAACTCTGCAAGCAGACGAGACAAACACCCTTCCTCTCCCTCATCTCCCTCACCCTCTTCCTCCCCCTCACCTTGCCCACGGCGCCCAGCACCACAATGGAATCGGAGCAGCCAATAACGGAGGCGTACTTGAGAGGCGCGAGCACGTAGATCACACTGTCGTGACAGTGCGCCACCTGATTAATGGGGAAAGGAGGGGGGGAAGGACAGTTGCACGAGGACACAAGGGGAAGGCAGAGGTTTTGTGGATGCTGCAAGGGGCAAGATGAAAGAGGCGAACTTGAGAGGAGCGAGCACGTAAATCACACTGTCGTGACAGTGCGCCGCCTGCGGGCCACAGCGGAGGGAGGTGGTGAAGGGGGGAGAGGCAGAGGTGGTAATGTGAGAGGAGCGAGCACATAGATCACACTGTCGTGACAGTGCGCCACCTGGGGGGGGGGAGCGGAACAGGAGGTGGGGGGAAAGGCAGGAGAGGAGGGGTTGGGTTGTGGGTCATTGAGGGGCACGAGCACGTAAATCACACTGTCGTGACAGTGCGCCACCCGCACGCAGCTGCTGTCCACCTCCGTCTCCCCTTTGAGCACCGACATCTTCGCAACCCCATCCACAGGCATCGCCACATCTCTCCAAAAGCAAAGATCCAGAGGGAAGAGACTCAAAAGAGGGAGTCAGAGATGGGGAGGGGGGGTCTTACCCGCACGCAGCTGCTGTCAACCTCCGTCTCCCCCTTGAGAACCGACATCTTTGCAACCCCATCAACGGTCGTCATCCCTGCCGCAGCCCACACACGCCGTGACAGCACGCCACCTGTCATCGCTCCATTGGCCGCGGCCCCTCTAGGCGATCCCTGAACCTCCGCCCCTGCGCCTGCCCCGCTCCCCGCAACTGCTCCCCCTTCCCCCATGGGCGTATCTCCGCTTTTGGTGGGGGAGGCGGCGGAATCTCCGCCCCTATCCGCGGGCACCTTGGCGGGGCGGGAGGGGGACTGCGGCCTTAGGTCCGGGCCGTGGTCGGACGTGCAGCAGAGCCTCGGGCCGAGCCAGTCTTGCGCCACGGAGAGAGGTACGGGCGCAGGAGGCATGGCAGCGTCAGCTTCGGCAAAAAAAGGGGCGACTTGCGAGAGGAGGAGGGAGGAGACTCCGGGTCGGTTGACCCGAAGGAAGAGACCCAGCAACTCGAACTTGTCGATAGAGATCACCTGAAAGAGAGGGAGGGGGCCACGGAAGGAGGAGAGGAGGGTGGGGAAAGTCTAATTTTTAAGGTGCCTCAAATATAGCCTCACTACATCCGGGTCGGTTGACCCGAAGGAAGAGACCCAGCAACTCAAACTTGTCAATGGAAATGACCTGAAGGGGAGGGAGCGGGCGGGAGGTGGCAACGGAAGAGAGGGGGAGGGAGGTTCGGGGACATATAGGGGGACATGGGAGGTGGGTAGAGATCAGGGAAAGTCTGGGAGGAAAAGATGGGAGAAAGGAAAGCGATAGGCTTGGAGGAAGGGAAGAATCGGACGGGAACAGAGGAATAGGGCGAGAGGTAGAGGAGGGATGGGATGGGACAGAGGGGAATGGAGAGGATGGAAGGGATGGGGTGGTGGGACGACGAGGGAGGGTGGAAAAGAGAGGGATAGAGTGTAGAGCCGAATTAATAAGCGGTGACACTAGAAGATGTGGCGCCGTGTAAAAGGAGGAGCTTGGGGGCACAAGGGAGAAATAGAGTGGGTGAGCGCTCAATCCCTCACTCACCTGTGTGCCCGGTTCCGTGCCGTCGCCACTACCAGCACCGTCAGAGCCATGCTCTGCCAGCAACTGCAGCACGGCAGGCAGGTTCTTCTGCAGGCAAAGGATCTATAACTCCCACAGCACGACAAGGAGCGCTCCGTAACTCACCTGTGTGCCGGGTTCCGTGCCGTCGCCACTACCAGCAGCATCAGGGCCATGCTCCGCCAGCAGCTGCAGCACGGAGGGCAGGTTCTTCTGCAGGAACGACAGCTGCTGCTGCTCCTCCTCCGCATGCCCCGTTTGGAACCGCTGCCGGGTGGCCAGGCTTGTCTTTATCTGTTGGCGCAACCATGACAGGACACGTTCAAGTCGAAAGCAAGGGAGAAGGCGAGTCAGACGTGCAGTGGAAACGAAGCAATGCGCGACGGGCATTGGAACGAAGTGATAAGCTGATTGGGATAATGCAACCTCGTCAACCTAATATCGGATATGAAGGAACTAGTAACCCTAAAGAGATGGGTGATGATCATACACAAGTAATGCACCAGGGAACTTTTTCCCCTGCTGCGACTCGCCATACGGGCGCGGGACATCTCAGGTCAAACGCTGTTCAAGACTTGAATGTCCAAGTGTACCGTAATGCACCATTCATTACCGTTGTAAAAATGTTTTATAAGGTGTGTTACCGATGTGTTTTCTTGAACAGGCTGTTCAATAACCCTAAGCACATTGCGGAGACGGCCGAACAAGTGTGAAGCGAATCAGTGCTGCATTCACCAGCAGCACTAACAATGCCTCATACTCCATCAGCCATACCGACATTGGTAGCAGATAGACACTACCAATCGCGTCCGCAATGGCGCACTGATATTGTTTCGGCCATTGAAAGGCGACCAGCCACGAGCCACAGTGGCATCGCGCGACAAGCGTCCCATCTGAATGCTAGACAGATATTATCCACCTAAAATACGTCGAAAGGATCTTAATCGCTCTTCGCCGAACGGCGAGGAGGAATCAACCTGCGGCGACGGCCCCTGCGGCCAGACACTGGCGCGCACAGAAGCATTACGGTGGCGGCTCGGTGACAAGAATAGACGTGGATTTTACTTTTCTATGGAACATTGGTTTTTTACGGACTCACTCATCAGACACCGGTGCGCACAGCAGCATTGTGGAAACGGCCCCTCCGAATATCTATACATGTTTTTTTTCCTATTAAAGGACATTCGCTTGAAATATACCGAGAGAGAACGTTACCTGGAGGGCGGAGGTAGCGGTGGGGGAGACAGAGTCGAACGGCGACGGCCCCTGCGGCCACACGTCCGCGAGCACAGCAGCGTCGCGGGACGAGCGGTTGGGAACGCGGCGGTACCGCTGGAGGAAGAGGAAGAGCAACAGCAGGTCCACGTCCGTTCCGATCTTCGCCGCATCTGACGGCGACGCGTCGGACAGCGAGTCGATATCTTCACTGCCGGTGGGGAGAACGGACGCTAGCGTGTCTAGAACGAGCCGCGCTTGGTCTTTAGAGAGCTTGAGGCACGATTCTATCGCCTCGCATGTGACACGTGGCTCTTGCGAGCCGTCGCGAGTCGGGGAGGTGGTCGAGGCGCCTTCGGAGTTTAAAGACGCGTCGATGAGGCGCTGACGGAGGAGCTTTAGGGTTTCAGTGGACGCTTCCTTGTACGATGCGATCGCGGGGATAGGCAGGAGGCCGAAATCGAACGGTTCTCGTCGCACGTGCAGCCACGGGTTCCCCGGTGCGCGCTCTGATGCCTCCGCCATAGTTCCCCCTCCCTAAGTCTGCAGTAGCAGGAAATGTGGGATGAAATGTGATGTTGGTAAAAATGTGTACGGAAACTGACACGCCACGGTTTCGGGTTTCGACTAAGCGATCAAATAGGGATCGAAATGTTCGACTTAAAAAGGTTAGTACGGTTACTGATTTTATGGTGTCTAGCGATTGGCTAAGATAGAGCACGATTAAGGGAAGCGAGACTTGGAGACTCACAATGTCGAAGAAGGAAAGAGAGTGATTTGGGTCACTTGACGTTCTTCATAAGGAAACGATTAAGATAAACATGCGCATCGGGTTCGCGAGACGACGGCCGTTAGAGGGTGAGAGTAATTATAATTTTAGGTAAGGAGTTTCAGGCTGAATCAAGTGGCGTAACACACAAATGCGGTGCTAATAATGCGGTATGGTATGACGGCCCTATTCTGCACGACGCAAACGCCGTTTGACTAACTCCTAATCGGACCACGAGCCGAGGTCTAATTAGGTATGGAGCAACAGATCCGCCAAAAGTAGGAGAAATAGGGCCGTTCCGCCATAAGTAGTTAGGGAAAATGGAAGCAGAAGAAGATGGAATAGTGGAGGGCGCAGCAGCAGGATCAAACCTGAGTCGCGCGCGGAAGCGGAAGCGGAAGCGGAAGCGGAAGCGGAAGCGGAAGAATGTCTCGAGCTCTCCGCAGCAGTGCGGGGCCTTTGCGGAAAAGCGCGGACTTCCGGCAAGCCAGAGCGCCTACCTAGAAATTGCCGCCGTGCGGGGATGCCCCTCGCGGGAGGTTGCGGGTGAGGTGTGGTCTTTCCGCCACACTGGAATGATGGCCACCGCGTGAGGCTTGGGTGAGCGGTGTGGCAGGGTGAAGTTGGGTGGGTGAGCTCGGAAGATCTTTAGCCACGTCATGGACGGACGAAAAGATCAATGCTTTGGTTGTATCGCCATTTTTAAAGGCGTGTAACATGAAGTACTTGTTTACATGAGTTTATATGACTTCTAATAAACTAAGAAACCTCTAGAGCCATCCATTGTCAGTCACACATTTCAGCTCATCGGTAGTACGATCCCATGAAGAACAAACCGACGCTTGTAAACAGGGTGATGAACGTTTCCTGTAAACACCAACAACACAATGGTTAATGCAGAATTAGGATATGCCCCTCACTAGTTACGGTGCCATGACTTTCACTGATCAAGCCGAAACGGTGGAAAAGCAGTTTCCAAGCCTCACCTGGAAGGTGTAAAGTGCACGTGGAACATACATCCCAGCAAGCGAGTAGGCCTTAATCAGGAGAGTGTGAACCTGAAATGGAAAAAACAAGTTCGCATCATGTCGTGCAAAGACTTCATCCGAAATGCCATGGCATGATTACCACCATTGCGAGCCGATATGATTGCACGAGTCCCATGATCCCATCCATACCAAAGAGGCAAGAGCAATGACGCCAAAGACAAGGCTAAGCGCCCGTGTGAGTCGCCGTCCGTTCCTCTGCCATCTCTTCTCCCCTTCCTCCTGCACCAATGGTTGAGAAGCACCAGGAGAGATTGAGTGCAACAGCAAGAAATACAAGGAGCAAACAGAGCAGACTTTAGGTTTTTCAGGGGACGGGAAAGGACGGTATGAAGGTTGAGTTTGACGGATGCTTTGGATTGAGGTTGGGGTGTAGAAGAGTAATTGCCTACAGTGTTTTGCGGGTAGAAGGGGTCGAGCTTCATGAAGAGCTGGAAGATGTAGAAGGAGAGGAGGAACTGCAGGATCTTCCAATCCGTGCTCTGCGCCCCCACCATCCACACCGCCTGCAGATGAAAGAATGGAAAGGAAGCGAGGATGGGGAGAACCTTTTGTTGCCATAGCTACAGGGATTAGAATGTGGTGTCATGGCAATACCATTGCTACAGTGTCATACATCTATCATGTTACAGTGTTACCATGGCAGTGGAGACAGCAGCGTTGATGAGGATGCCCTTGTTGTCAGCCTTCTCATACGGCAGCCACCATTGCTATGGTGTTAGTGTTACAGTGTTACCATTCTACGGTGTTACAGCATTACCATGACGGCGGAGACAGCCGAGTTGATAAGGACGCCCTTGTTGTCCGCCTTCTCATAACGCAGCCACCATTGCTATGGTGTTAGTGTTGTGGTCACGATCGCTACGGTGTTAGTGTTACAGTCACTACAGTGTTACACTGTTACCATGTTACAGGGTTACCATGACAGCAGAGACAGCAGCGTTGATGAGAATGCCCTTGTTGTCAGCCTTCTCGTAGCGCGGCAGCCACGGGAGAAATTCCGTCTGGTCGGCAAACTTGATGTCTTTCGAGACCTCGAGAGAGCCATATGTCACACCCTTCTTGCGCATCGTGAGCTGCCGCATCATGATGGCATCGTATGCCCTGTCGATCTGGGTACCCGGGAGAGTGGGGGAGAGGAGAGAGAAACGAGGGGGGTGGGTGATGTTTAAGTTGGCCCAAACGTGACACCGTGCTTGCGCATCGTCAGCCGCTGCATCATCATGGCATCGTAAGCCCTGTCGATCTGTATGCCCAAGAGGGGGAAGGTGGGAGGGAGAAGGGAGGGGGGAGAAGGGGGGGGCAAGAAGGGAGGGGAGAAGGGAGGGAGGAGAAGGGGGGGAGGGAAGGGAGGGGGTGAGTGAGTGGCGTTAGCACAGACGAGCTAGGGCAGTAGATTGTTGTATGGAAGCAGACGGGCAGGCAAGCAGTCATACGGGCAGCCATTCAAGGACCATCAAAATACAAAACCCCAAACATTCCTCAAACCCCCCTCCTCACCCGCTCTACCTCCGCATCATTGCCCTTTCCCTCAGCATTCCCCAACCTGTCCCCTTCCCCCGAACCTCTCCCTCCCCCTCACTACCCTCTCCCTTAACCATGCCAAACCCCCCTCTCACCCAGCCTATCTCCACCTCATCCCCATTACTCCCAGCCCCTCTATCTTTCACCCATGCCTGGCCCCCATTGCCCTCCGCGTCACCCAACCCACAAGCCCCCTCTCGCCCTCTCGCTCCTCCTGCCCCCGAAACATGCACTCTACACTCTCCCACCCCCCTTCACCCGCTCTATCTCCGCCTCGTCCCCCTTGCCCTCCGCGTCCCGCAGCTTCTTCCGCCATTCTGCGGCCTCAACCCCCACCTCGCTCCTCCTCCCGACTCCCCCTGTTCCCCAACCCCCCTCCCCCTCTCACCCGCTCTACGCCTCGCCCCCCTTGCCCTCCGCATCCCGCAGCCTCTTCCTGTGCCATTCTAAAGCCTCACCACCCCCACCCCCTCCATCCCCTATCCCCCAACCCCCTCCCCCTCCCCTCTTGTTCACCCGCTCTATCTCCGCCTCGTCCCCCTTGCCCTCCGCGTCCCGCAGCTTCTTCCTGTGCGCCACCTTGATGGCGTCGAACGAGTCCAATGGGCGCACACCCAGCACCTGAGGCGCAGGGGAGGCAGGTGGGGGAGGGGGAGAGTGGGGGGAGCAGGGTGAAGGGAGAAAGGGCGCAGAGTTCCGCAGCTTCTTCCTGTGCGCCAACTTGCTGGCGTCGAACGAGTCCAGGGGGCGCACGCCCAGCACCTGTAAAGGGGGAGGGGCAGGGGACGGTGGGGGAAGTAGGGTGAGGGGGAATGAGCCGTGGCAGTAGGGTGAGGGGGAATGAGCCGTGGCAGTAGGGTGAGGGGGAATGAGCCGTGGAAGTAGGGTGAGGGGGAATGAGCCGTGGAAGTAGGGTGAGTGGGAATGAGCCGTGGAAGTAGGGTGAGGGGGAATGAGCCGTGGCAGCTCGCAGCTTCTTCCTGTGCGCCACCTTGATGGCGTCGAACGAGTCCAATGGGCGCACGCCCAGCACCTGACAGAGGGGGGAGGCAGGTGGAGGAGGATGGGGTCGGGAGGGAATGAACGGTTGACGAGGGACGGGGACGGTGTGGGGATATAGGGTGAAAGGGAGATGGGTCGCAGAGTTCCGCAGCTTCTTCCTGTGCGCCATCTTGATGGCGTCGAACGAGTCCAGCGGCCGCACGCCCAGCACCTGACAGAGAGGGGAGAGGCAGGGGGTTGGGGGGAAGGAGGAAGGGAGGGGGAAGGGGAGGGAGGGAGGAGAGGGACGATGAGGAAGAAGGGTGACAGGGGTTGTGAGAGAAGCAATCACGACCTGGTGGGTTTTGGCTGAAGCAAGGATGAGTTGTGTGGAGGAGGAGAAAAGGAAAAAGGGGGAAGGGGAGGGGGAGGGCGGGGGGGGAGAATCGACTACTATTCATATAAGTCATGATTGTAGATTATTAATTTTTGAATCTGATAGGGGTTCAACAAACCTGATAGGGGTCTTCTGCGGGCTGCGCACCTGGTAAAGGTCAACTTTTCAATCAACTCATGACTGAAGCTCGTGGGGGTTCAACGAACCTGATAGGGGTCTTCTGCGGGCTGCGCGCCTGGCGAAGCAGCGTTGCACGTGATTCGCAGGCGGTTAGAGCCGCTGCAGTGGCGGGAATCGGTACAGAGGGATAGAGAGGGCGAAAGGGGTTGGAGCGCAGAAGGATGGTGGGGGGAGAAAAAGAAGTCATGGAATCGTTAAGCAAAGCCGCAACCCCTGCCTTGCACGAAAGACGTCGCAAAATGTAGAGGTTGCGATTATCGAGTTTCGAGACAACCAAAGTGGCTAGTTAATCGTCTGGCTGGTAGAATCGGGAATTGCAGACGTCGAAAGCATGCCAGGTGAAACATCGTGACGTTGCTCACTCGTTCTGACATCCCGTTATTCACGGACAGCAGCAGAAACAATGTCGCAATTCAACGGGAATAAGAGAACGCGATGTCGACGTTGACGGGTTGCCCGATGTTCACCTTACAGATGACCGGCCTCTGCATTGTAGCGGAACAGTTCTCAGCGAGAACAAAGAGACGCTTGTCGCTGACGACAGTCGACTCGATAGCTGTGACGCAGTCGCACAGTTTGTCGCCGTCATCGCTGGCCTGATTCCATGCGACATCGCCGCACTGGCCATTGATTTGATCGCTCAAACGCGTACGATCACACGAGTACTAGAGCTTCGTTTGGCGACAAAACGAGTCGCGCGTGAGGCTGACGGCACTAAGCACAATGTCCGAGGATCTAGACCAGGAGTCTAGGAAACAGAGCAAGGTTGTGTGAACTGAACACCCCTAAAACACTTTGTCTCCTAACAGTAAAGGAAGACCAGAACTACTGATGGTGGGATTGCTGATGCTGCTTTGTGGAGTTTGGGAGGACCTTGGGATTGGGCCAAAGCGGATAAGCCTTGTTGTAGGGTGAAGCGAATGCCACTGTATTGAAGTTAAAACAAGGGTGCACTTTGAAGGGGGTGGAGGCAAAGGTTTATCACTTGCCTTCCGTGGTTACCCGGTTTGTGGTTGGGAGTGAGACACGAACAAATATTCAGTGTTGGCGGAGGTGAGCGATAGGGGGTGATAGGGAGTTGGAACTTGAGTTTGAGGCAAGGCACTTAGTGAGCCAAAACGCAGGTGACTCTTGTATTCCCAGCAACTCATAACCCACCTCCCACTTCCCACAGCGCACCGCCCTGAGAGCTGGATTTCCCGCTAATAACTAGAGCTGCACGCGCACGGGACACTCTCCCACCATCACAACATAGCTCCCGCCGGTGCCCATCGTTCTCACCGCGGCCGCCCATTACCTTATCGCACCCGCATTTCGACGCGTCCGCTCCCGTACCCCGCGGGAACCGAGCGCGCGATTCGCCGCGACCGCGCGCTGGGATCTCCCCACCGGAAAACAGGCGGCGAGACTACCGCGCACTCAAATCGCGCGTATTGTGCCGTGAATTCCAGTGCTATCATAGCCCCCACGACGCAGCCCACTCCACGCCACTTTACGAAGGACACGCCCTCGCGCAGTAGGTCCGGATACCACCGCCATGCCGTGGTCTAGGTCCAGGCCTTACATCGTCTCAAAAACAATCCCCCACTTCGTTTAGTCACCGCATTATCCATCGTGTCAGCGAAACACTCGGTTTCTAACTCCCCTCACTCCCAAACTCCGCTATTTGCTGGCTCCAATCCCTCCCCTCCCTGCCCTCAATCCAGCCCCGGTCCGACCCTCCCTCTGTGTCCTATCGCCATCGCCGCGACCGAGCACCCAGAGCGCCGCGACTGAGCACTCAAATCACGGCATCCAGGCCCGCGCGGCGAGACTACCGCGCCGTCACTGCACGCCTTCCGCGCATTCTCTGCGCTGTCATCGACGCGCCTCTGCGAAGCGCTTACTTTCCGCTTCATAATACGACTCCCACGCCAACGCTAACCAGGTCCGTACCCTTCACATCGTAACTCCGAGCGCCACCATGCAAAACCAATCGCCCCCCTCTCCTTTCTATCCCCTTCCCTTGTCCTATCTCCCTTCTCTGACCTACATCCAATCTCGCCCTACATCCCCTCCCTGACAAAACGGCCCCTTACCTTTCTCCCTTCCCTGCCATCCCCTTCCCTGCCATCCCCTTCCCTGCCATCCCCTTCCCTGCCATCTCCCTTCCCTGTCATCTCCCTTCCCTATCATCTCCTTTCCCTGCCATCCCCTTCCCTGTCCTCTCTCCCCTCACGTACCCTACCTCCCTGCCCTGTCCTATCTCGTGTCCCAGTCCTATCTCCCCTCCCATTCCTATGCCCCCTCTCCGCCCTGTCCTATCCTCCTTCTCTGTCCTCTTTCCTCTCTGAGCCCTCCCTCCATTCGGTGTATTCCCCCAACCAAACATTCGAACGAAACTGGTAGGCATCGCCTGCCTTGTTTCAATTCTTCGCACCAGCCTTACGTACCCTGCACAATTCGCCCTCGAATCAGCTAGCGCCAAAAGGGTGCGCACTGACTATACACCCAAAAGCCACCCCCAGGAAAGTGCACCCTTGCTTTACCAATGCCCAGATTGGAAACACGTTTTTATAAAACATTGCAAATTTATCCAGCTTCCAGATGTTACGCGGCCCTCATTATCGGAGTTTCCGACCTTCAGCAAGTCCCCCCATTCGTGCTTTCCCAAATTCTCTCCCCAAGCTTCTCTTTCTCCCAAGCTCTTCATTCGTTCCTCGTTGCTCAGCATTGTCTCTGCTTGCGTCCCTGCGTCCTCGCTTGTCGCCGCATTATACATCCGGCGTCGTCACGACCACCGTGTATTTCGTTCTTCCTGTGTGTCTGCTTTATTCTTGTAGCGCTTTATATTCATACGCTGCTTCAGCGGTCCGTTTTGTGCTGGCTGTTACGTGCACCGTGTTGTGACATTCATTCCATATCACACCAGAAACATCAGTCCCATCTTTCGTGTTACCTCCTGCTGCTTTTGAGCTATGGTGGTTCAAGCGTCGCACCGTGCGGATATACCGGACCCGGATCCTGCGCTTCCCAGCTCGCCATCCGTGACAATACCAGAATCGGGCTGTAACGAATCCGTCAAGAGACCCGCTATAGCAGGAGCGCGTCGCCTTCTTCAGAGACGGCTCCGGATCGGCATAACGGACGGTCGAGTGTTTGTAGGCCGGTTCAACTGCCTGGATAAGGAAGGGAATATCATTCTTCACGACACTGTCGAGTTCCGTCGCGCGTCTGCCGCCGCGGATCCCGCAAATCCTCGCAGGAACGAGTCCCTGGAAGAGAGAATGGCGCGTTCCACGTCAGCGGATCCGAATCCGCTGGTTGAGCAGCGACGGCTGGGATTGGTGCTGATTATGGCGAAGGATCGGGTGTGGTGTGGCGTGGAATGTGGGCTAGAGGAGAAGTTGGAAGGCATAAGTCTTGGTTGAGCCGCTGAGGGTTCGTTTCTTCCTTAAGGCCTTTGACAGTCTAGGATATGTACACCCATCAGCAAGACTGCTGAGTGCTGATGTGACAAAATCCCAGAAAGCTGACTCAGAGTGAGGGATTTGGTACAGGATGAGAATCTGCCCCATAGGGAGTATAGCCATTAGCAGTACGGTACTCTGAATGAGCTGTAGGTCGACTGTTACCGAATGTTTCACCAGTGGCTCGCAAGTAGTAGAAGTGTGCTTGCAGGGCTATTGACATCTCTTCCTCCTCACGTCAGGCCTACTGGGGTGCATTGAAGTAAAACTCCAACAGAAGCACTCTGCCTTTTGAGGCTGGTATACGTTAATCACCTTCCAAGCAGGTGGGGTATGCTGCTGAATGGCAGTCTCAATGGTCAATTAGGCCTGCCTGCTTGTTAAAGCCCGCAGCTAAAATAGTGACCCCCCGCTTCTAGTTGGGTCCACTTGAAATCTCAAAACTCACTTTGGAAAGTTGAAGTGTTTTCCTGAAATATTTTGCCTGACGCGAGAAACATTGGTTGAGTCTTTCACAGATTTTTATCAGTTGTTACGAGTGCAATGGAGTGAGCGAGCGAGGATTGCACTATCGAGACAAGATACAATTGAGCGAAGGAATGAGCGAAGAATATATAGCGAAAATGGTGGTAACGGTAACGTGGGAAATTGGGGTGCGCGACGGGCCTAATGCCGAGGTTTGGGGAACTGTCGAGGCGGAGGTCCGGAGCGCGGGTTACCAACCGAACCGTGTGGTTAGGTCGCATCGTGAACAGTGGCGGGAATGCTGTCGAGGCGAATGTCGCGAGTGCTAACGGAATGTTGTGGGGTGCTGTCAGTGTTGTACGCGCTGAGCAGGGACGCGAAGTAAGGAAAATGATTTTTCCTTACACTACCCCCCCCTTTAAGGAGGCCTTCCTTACGAGAGCGCGTGTATGTCCCGGAAATTTCTGCTGCGCAAGTAGTCGTTGTTGGGCTGAGAAAAACCCTTAGGATCTTTGCAGGACTAAATTATGAGTAGGACAATGTAATAGCGGAAGTGTTAAATAAAGACTTGTGAACCACCTTGCGCTAGTATGTGAGGGCAAAGTAGATTGATTAATAGCAAAGAGATACAAGCTTTTATAAGAATACAGGGGAATATGAAGGGTTATAACTAATAACCGTTTTACCATTGCTGTTGCGGTTCGATACAGTGACGACTCGGGCAACTGCTCAATAGCGAGTCAGTTGTTTGTCCTTGCTGTCGCGCTGTACTTGTCATGTCAAAGGTCGCTGACCTTTGACTTTCGCGTAACCTCCAGCAGTTGTTCAACCTCCGAGGGTTGACTCGCTGATGCTTCGATATGTTCTGCTTCGCTTTTGACTCGGTGTTTCGACACGACAGAGGCGCTTAAATAAATTGTTTCCAACACTCCCCTTCGCTTCTGGAGTGTCGCTGCCGGTGACATGGCTCTGTCCAGTCAGCAGCATGCAGTACTCAAACTTCTGTTTTCCGAGTTTCTTGGTCAAGTAATCAGCTGCCATCTCGGACGTGGGACAGTAAGACAGCTCAAGTCTCCCCTTCTCGATCTCGTCTTTCACTAAGAAATATCGCAGGGCGATATGCTTCGTCCTGTTCGCGAATCCGTTTTTGTTGGCTATCCGAATTGCCGACTGGTTATCGCAGAACAGGGAGAAGCTGGGTAACTGAGCCAGCTTCGCCTCCTCCAGGAGTTCGCGAAGGTACAATTCTTCCTTGGTGGCTGAGCAGAGTGCGATATATTCTGCTTCGGCTGAGGAGAGAGCGATTAATTCTTGCTTACTCGACTGCCACGAGATAGGTCCGATAGGCTCGAGGCGGTAGATGTAGCATGTGCGCGAGCTGTCAGAATATGTTGTTTGTGTAGCCTGCAGTGGGGTACTCAATAGTGAATACAGCCCCTTAGGGTTTGCTATTTGTATCCTGCTGCTTGCTAGTTCAATCATCCCTTCCTCATTTCTGTTCGTACACACAATCCTAGCTCCTACTTGGCTCCTCGTTCTAGTCCTACTGTGGCCTAGGCTACTAAGCCTAGGCCGTACTCCTACTATCTTTGACATGGTATCAGAGGGCGGCATGTCTGCCGCCTTCCTGTGTATGGGCCCACCACCCGCTTCCGCTGCCGTACTGTCCGCCGCG